TTACGACTTATGTACTGAGTTCAATACTGATCCGTGTGTTGATGTAGTGACCAACGAAGCAACTGTGTTCCTCGATGCGCAAGGCGTGTCAGTAGAGATGGCTGACTTTGTTATTCCTGAGGATGTTCATGCGTTTGGCCACTATTTCATTGGTCTGGAAGGTGGTGAATTTTTCCGCGCGAAACTCATCGTGGTGGCCGCAGAAGACGGACTGACCCGCAGGGATGGACTCGTGAATTCAACCGTGGCGGACGATGTTTTTGAACTGCTCGACGATGCAGACACTTTCAATGTTCAGATCGGTGACGCGCTGTTGTTAGATCAGATCGGCAACACCCTTGATATCGATATCACACCAGGACAGGCTGCTGAAGCCTGGGCATTAAATACGCTGCTGGATATCGCGGAAGAGGGTGACTTCCCAGCCATTCTTGTGCAGATAGATGACACCGATGTAGAAGAAGACACCATCGAAGGTACGCTGGTTGATCTTGAAAGTAATACCCTGACGGTTCGTAATGACGAAGGGGATTTCTGTGTCACGATTGATGAAGATACTGACATACAACTGTTGTCAGATTATGCCAATGACGCTGAGACAGATACCATTTCCCGGGTGGCTTTAGGCGACCTGATATCCATCGGTGTCGAAGTTGAAGCGTTTGGTCTTCTGAATGGCGATTGTCTGGAAGCTGACCTTGTCGCTGCGGAAATCGAAGACTGAGTGGAAGCTATGCCCGGCTTCCTTTGGAGCCGGGCATTTTTTTCTCAGGGGCGCTAGTCCGACATTGAAGTGAGCATCTGTTTCAGTGCAGCCTGCTTTGGTTCGAGATCTTTCATCACAAACCACCAGTTGTAACCAACAATGGCGATCATCAGGATCGCCGATCCCAGCAGGTATTCCACGCGGAATGCATCAAACGCGTCGGATTTAACTGCCACAAAAACCAATGGGATTTCCATAGGCAGACAATACCACCAGACAATATTCTTAAGCAGCTTAATCTGGTGGGAGACGCTGGCAAGACTGCTGGTCAGTGTTTGTTTGATATCAAGACTTTCGTCGGTTTCCCATTGTTTTGCTTGTCTGCGTTGATAAACAAACGCTATGGCGATGAACAGCGCACCGGCACTGAGTGTGAACCACTCCCAGTGATTCACCCAGCTTGTCTGATTTTTGCCACCCCATAAGAACGGGACGGCGGCAAAAAATATTGCGATGAAAAAACCCAAACTTGCCTCGAGGTGATCGCGGAAGCGAATCTGGCGGCTGAACTGTTTAGCTTGCTTGCTTAGCAAATTATGCATTGCTTCCTCATCTATGCTGAAGCGGCCGCTGGTTTGATCCTGTTGCCAGATTAATTCCATGGTATTGAAATCCCTATTCATGTTTGTGTTTCCTTGTTAAACAAGGCCTGGAGCTTGCCTTTCACTCGGTTGATTTTGGCACCCACAGAGTTGGGTGAGATGCCAAGGATGTTCGCGATGTCGTCATAGCTGTTGCCGTCCAGATACAGCAGCATGAGTGATCGTTCTACGACTTCGAGAGCACGAATTTTCTCGTACACCCAGGTAATGTCCTCCCGCGGTGGCTGTATCTGTACCCAATTTGTGGTTTCATCGAATTGCGATGTTCTGGGTGTGCGTACAGCCTTGCGGGCGTGATCGATGGCGGTGTTCAGCGCTACTTTATAGATCCAGGTACTTTCTTTTGACCCACCCGCGAAGCGGTCAATTGATCGCCAAAGCGAAAGCGCAATATCCTGAAACAGATCTTCACGCGCACTGTGGTCAGCTTCATAACTCATCACCACCCGGTAGATCAGCGCCTGGTATTCGTGCAGCCAGCGCGTCATCGTTTTTGTTCTGGTGTTTTTTTGCTGTGTCACAGTGACTTTGAGCGCAATTTCCATCGTATTGAGTCATTAGACGGTAGTCGCAGGATTTTCGTACAGGAAATATGAAAAATTTTGAATTGCTGGGTTTGGCGACTGTGCAGGGACTACCGCTTTGGGTATGATGCGCGCCTTATCGGGGCGTGGCGCAGTCTGGTAGCGCACTTGACTGGGGGTCAAGTGGTCGCAGGTTCAAATCCTGCCGTCCCGACCAATCAAATCTGGGGTCCAACCCGGACACATGGGTAACAGTTTATACCGAAGACATAGTTTACAGTTTGGCCAGATGGCCTCGTCTAGCTTTCTACGGTGTGTTGTCGGAGGAATGCCTCCAGTGACTGCTTAACGCTTGCATCTTCCTCAATGGTTTTGATGATCTTTCGGTGTGCATCGTCTGTCTCCACTACGATGTGGAAGCCATTGATTCGCAGGAAGACATCGACCGCGAAGAACGCGACGCGCTTGTTCCCATCCACAAATGGATGGTGCATTAGTAGGGACTCGAAGAGCGCCGCCGCCATTTCGATGAGGTCCGCGTAGTATCCGGTACGGGGTCGAAACAAAGCGCTCTCTAAAAGCCCGAGATCTCGAACCCCGGGAGGCCCACCAAACTCCTGCAAGAGTGTGGTGTGAATTTCCAGCACCTCCTCTAGCGTGAGGAATGCAACGGAGCCCGGCGGCGATTGCCCCTCACTTGGCAAGCAGTTCTCCCAACTTGCGATTGGCATCGATCGACTTTGCCAGCGCCGATCTGACCTCGGGGCGGACTCGTCTCCGCTGAACATATTCAGCGATGGCTTCAGTCAATACCCCCGAGATGCTCTGTTGCGAATCGGCAGCCAGTGCCTTGAGGTCCTCCCAGGTGCGTTCCTCGACCTGCGAGCTCACTTTTACAGTAGTCACTCGTTTTCCTGAAATGTCATGAATTTTCATGATTCTATCATAGAGTTGGGACGATGCCCGTGTTGCAATAATTCTCAACAAACTGGTCCTTTGAAACCCGCAATCTTCAGCCTCAATTTCCTGAATCTTTGTTGTCACTTGTTGTGAGATGTTGGCAGTTGTTGTCTTCACTGCCCTGGGAGTCAAGTACCGTCCTGCGGACAGTGGTCGCAGCAACGCGGTTGGCGCAACGTGGTTGCCAGAAAATTCCTGCCGTCCTCTCAGGGCGAGAACACCCGATCAAAACTACGTATAAAAGCTACTATGACTGGCGCAAAACTTTGCTAGCCTGCCAATTGCGAATATAAACACACAGTGTGTAGATATAAACACGATATGTGTTAATAACCATACGTCTTGTGTATGATTTCGAGCATGAATCAACAACTCGAAGCAATATTTGGAAACAAATCGGCAGCGCAGACGCTGATGTTTCTCCAGAACTATGGCGAAGGGCACGTGAATCGAATAGCGCGCACGTTTGCGGTTTCGCCGACAGCAATCAAACGACAGCTTTTACGATTTGAGAGCGGTGGGCTCCTGGTGAGCCGAGTCGTTGGGAAATCTAGAGTATTCACCTGGAACCCGCGCAGTTCTACGGCAAAAAATCTACGTAAGTTTCTTGAGGCAGAGTTAGAGAAACTACCAAAGGAAGTCCAGCAGCAATTCTTCAGACAAAGGCAGCGTCCGCGCAGATCTGGCAAGCCACTAGAGAGTTCTGTTGGAAATTGATACGGACACGACAGATTTAGAGTTGGCTGTTTTGGTTAGCCAAACGCTTGAGGAAGCAGGTATAACCGCAACGCTGGTTGGAGGTGCAGCTGTAAGCATCTATTCAGACAACGAATACAAGTCGATGGACTTGGATTTTGTTACAGCTGCAATGCGAGATAGTCTCGTTGCTGCACTTGCGCCACTGGGGTTTGATCTCTCCCAAGACAAGCGCCATTTTGATCACCCGAACACTAATTTTTACGTTGAATTCCCGCCATCACCGTTGGAATTTGGTAGTCGAACGGTACAACACGAAGAAATCCCAAGGCTGGAAACGGTGTGGGGTCCGCTCCGGGTCATTACTCCGACACTTTGCGTGATGGATCGATTGGCAGCGTTTTGGCATTGGAATGATAGGCAATCCTGGGATCAGGCTGTAATGGTAGTTCGTCATTCTGAGATAGATTTCGATGATTTAGTGGCGTATGCACATGAAGAGGGCGCACCCGCCACCGATATTGAAAAGCTGCAGGTTGCTGCGCGAGGGTCAAACTAGCCAATTCCTGACTGATTGTAGCTGTGACTCATCACCGTCGCGCCCCCAATTGTTGGCAAAGTCGCGTCTAGATACTTGTTATAGAAAAGTGTCTTGTTGCAATAACTCTCAACAATTCGGTCTTCTGAAGCGAGCACTCTACAGCAGCGATTTTCTAAGTCGTTGTTGTAGGTAGTTGTGAAGTTTTGACAGTTAAATCCTGCCGTCCGAAAAGAAACTGGAACTGTTTAAAAAGGTTACGCAACCCTTCGTAGTCCAGAGGTAGACGAGCACTGGGTCTTGCATGCTGCCCAACACTGGGGGGCGGGCCCGCTTAACGTGATCTGTAATGACCAGGCGACCTGTGAACGAGTATCAGGTGGTCACTGCTGAAGGCATCACCACAGGCCCAACTTGCGATTGTCCCAATTCAGGATGCGCTCATCCGGCGTGAACCGAACCACGCCATTTATGGCTTTGGTATAAGCTTCTCTAGTCTCTTTAGGCATGGCACTGGTGGTGGTGCGGTATTTGCTGTACTTACGATCCAGTTCGGTTCGGTATCTGGCGGACAGCGTGTCATCCAGGTCCACAATCTCAGCGTGGCCGGTCATGTGAACGGCGCGTAGCTTCGACCAATGCTGACCTTCTTCCACTAAGAAACTGGCTCGGGGATCGTTTAGGATGCGTTTGAGCTTTTTACCGCGTGTGCCAATAAAAATGAGGTTGTCGAGGCACACATACCATATCGGCAAAGCTATTGGCATACCGTCAGAACGTAAGGTAGTGAAGATTCCTGTATGGCCTTCCTGTACAAACTGCCATATTTCATCTTCAGACATGCGTACGGTTGGCTTCGCTGTGCTTTCCTCAGGCATGACGGGTCTCCTGAGTTAGTTTCTCCACATTACCCATCATTTCGATTCTCCCCCGCTGAGTATCAGCTCAGCCAATTTCTGCCGTTGATAGGTGGCGTCACCCCACAGCGTCTGGCTGTGCAGTTGGCGCTTCAAATAAATGTGTACGAAGCTCTCCCAGGTAAAACCGATGCCGCCATGCAGCTGCACCGACTTCCTCGATCCGAACGAAGCGACGTCATTTGCAGCGGATTTGGCCATACGAGCGTACAGCTCTGCATTGTCCGGTTCATGATCAATGGCACACGCGGCGTTATATAGATGGGCACGTGCCAGGTCTATCGCCACCATGAAATCCGCCAACGGATGTTTTACCGCCTGAAAGAAACCCAGGTTGCGATCGAACTGTTTGCGGGTACGCGCATAGTCTGCTGTTGTCTGCAGCTGCCATTCCGCTGCACCACACATGTCGGCGCAGATCATTGCGAGCAGCGCCGGGGTGGCGTGCTGCAGCGCGGCCAACGCTTGGCCTGGCGCGCTGACAATCTGGCTGTCTTCGATGGCGACCTGATTGAACCGCAAGCAAGCCTGGTCGCGGGTCAGATCAATGATTGTATTAGGCTCGATCGTGAGCCCGTCCAGATTTGCTGGTACAACCACTAGAGTTGGTTCGCTCTCGCGTTTGGCGTTGACCAGGAAATAGTCGACTTTTTGAGCATCCTGCACGAAGTAGAGCGCGCCGTTCAATTGGTTATCTTCCAGTACCAGTTCGGAAGCATTGTGTTCCCAGGCGCCGAATTTATTGCTGGCGCCATAGCTGAATGTTTTGCCTTCGCAGATGAGACCTAACGCGTTGTCCGCATTGTTAGTGCCGCAAGCGCCGAGAATGTAGGATGTGCTCAGCGTTGCAATGAGCGGTCCGGGAAGGGCGGCACGTCCGGCCTGCTCCACTAAACTGGTGACCGCGACGGCAGGCATACCCATGCCGCCCACGCGCTCCGGCACGGCCACCATCAGCCAACCCAAATCTACAACTTGTTGCCACAAGTCCTTGTCCCAGCGGCTTACCGAGCCGTTGGCCAGGTCACTGTCCTGGGCTACCAACTGGTGCAGCTTGTGCGTGGGTAGATTGTCTTGGAAAAATTTCTCCGCAACATCTTTTAGTGCAAGAGCATCAGCGTCGAAGCCGAAGTCCTTGGGTTGTTTTGCGGTTTGCATTGATTTCGTCACAGTAAGTTTTCCCTGTATTTATTTGCTCTTGTCCAGACCAAGTACTCGCTCACCCAAAATGTTTCTTTGAATTTCACTGGTGCCCGCGGCGATGGTGCCGCCGAATGAACTCAGATAAGACAGAGGCCACTTGCCTTGATCCGGTGCGTGTTTATCGAAGTTGGATAGCGTTCCAGCCGGCCCCTCGATCTCTAAGGCAACTGCCGCGGCGTCTTGCTGGTATTCGGTAGCTAACAGTTTATCCTGGAGCGCCAGGCGTTGCTGGTCCACTAACCCGGTTACGCTGCGAATGCGGCGATGTTGTTTGATGCCCACTTGGCGCACTAACATTTTCATGACCTTGTCACGTATAACCGCGTCGTCTGCTGCCGGGCTGCCATTGCGTGTGCATTGCTGGGCGAGTTTGAGCAGCGGAAATTCATTGATACCGTTTTCCTTTTTCACTTCGGCACCCTGGCCACCGGACGAAGGAGAGGTCAGGGGGCCTGCGCCGCGTTCGTGGGCCAGCGTGGTCATGGCTACCTGCCAGCCTTTGCCGACGTCGTCGAGGCGGTAGGCATCGTCGATTTCCAGGTTCTCGAACAGCTCTTCGTTGAAGCCTGTCTCACCGGTGATCTTGATGAGCGGTCGGACCGTGACCGTCTTGTCGAGCTCTGATTTGATCGGCACCACAAAGTAGGTCAGACCATTGTACTTGTCCGACTTGTCGGTGCGTGCGAGCAGGATCATCCAGGTGGCAAACTGTGCAGTTGAGGTCCACACCTTGTGCCCGTTGATTACCCACTTGTCCCCTTTTCGCTCTGCAAAAGTTTGCACACTGGCCAGATCGGAGCCGGCGCCGGGCTCACTGAAGCCCTGGCACCACAATTCTTCACCGGACAACAGCTTAGGCAGCAAGCGCCGCTTCAGATCTTCCGACCCATGAAAAAAGAGGGTGGGCGCGGCCATCCCAAGCCCGATGGCACCGGGCATGATCGGTGTCCTGGCGCTTAACATTTCCTGGTTGGCAACAGACTGGCAGCGGGTTCGTCCGCCGCCGCCGTACTCCACCGGGTAATCGCAGCCCACCAGGCCTGCGTCGTAGGCCGCCTTCTGCCAGGCGCTGTAATAGGCCAGATGTTCCTCAGTTGCCAATTCCGCGCCGCTTTTCAGCGGCTTGAAGCTTGGCGGTGGTGGTACATTGCTGGCCAACCAATCCCGGCAGTATTGCCTGAATTCCTGTTGTTCAGGGGTGTCCCGTTTAGCGTTGTCTGACATGTTAAGCTCCTTTCATGCGAGGGATTTGTGTAGTTTACTTACCCGTGAACTCGGGTTTGCGCTTCTCAAATATCGCGCGCCTTGCCTCTTTACCGTCACTGCTGGCTAAGCCTTTGCCGGTATAATGCAGTTCCGTTCGCACGAGCGCTTCGAGGTCCTCAGGCAATCCCACTTGTGTGACCTGCAATTTGGTCTGGGTGGCAGACAATGGCGCAACCTTGGCGATCTTTTCGCAATAGGCAAGAAATGCTTCCGAGAAAACATCTGCAGGCACTACCTCGCCGATCATACCCATGGCGAGTGCCTGCGGTGCGTCGATGAATTCAATTTCAAGCAGAAATCGCATCGCGCGCTCATGGCCGACCGCCTGCGGCAGTGTCCAGGTCAGGCCGCAGTCGGGTGAGGTGCCAACGCGTGCGTAGCCCGGGTGAAATGAAGCATCGCTACTGGCCATGCGTATGTCGCAGCACATGGCCAGCGACAGACCGGCACCAATGGCCAGGCCATTAATGCCTGCAATGACGGGTTTCTGGCAGCGCACACGGATACCGGTTACCAGCTGCACGACCCTCTCCACTGTGTCCTCCGCACTGTCGCGACTTCGACCCGGGCTCAAATCAGCACCAGCGCAAAAAGTATCGCCAATTCCGGTGATCCCGATGACTCTGACGGCCTTGTCGGCGCTTGCATCGTCTATGGCGGTAACCAGTGCTGTCATGAGTTCGCCTGATAACGCGTTCTTCTTCGCTGGGCGATTGAGTTTAAGAACACGAACGTTGCCGTATGTTTCTTCGAGTAAGACCGGTTCGTCTTCGCTGGCGTCTTTGTTCATTCTGGTAGTCTCCGTTGATTCAGGTTGCTGTTTGATTTCAGCGCACCACACCTTGGGCATACAGGTCGTCGATTTCCGGATCAGAGAAATCGAATTGCTGCAGGATGGCACGTGTGTGTTCGCCAATGCCGGGCGCAGGCCCTTGAATGTGCGCAGGCGTTGCAGAGAATTTGGCGGCGGGTCGCGCCTGGCGGATCTTGCCAATACCCGGATGATCAAATACCTCAATAAGTTCGTTGGCAATGATCTGTTCATTGTTCGGTAGATCGGCAGGGGTCAGTATCGGGCCGCAGGGCACATCGTGTTCGTCAAATAGCTTAAGCCAGTGAGCGGAGGCTTGTTGCTCGAAAATTGGAGAAAGTAATTCAATCAGCGTTGCGCTATTGGCGACCCTGCCCGCAGGGGTGTTGAGTCGGTCGTGATTTAACCACTCCGCTTTGTCCAGCGCAGTACATAAGCCTTGCCACTCAGCTTCGGATACAGCTGCAGCGGTGATGTAGCCGTCAGTCGTTCTGAATATCAGCTCACCTCTGCGCGCGGTGCCTGTTGGTGGCGGATTCTCGCCGTTTTCATCGACACGCATGTTGTTGGCCATCATGCTGGGCCAGATTAGCGCAATCATCGCATCAATCATCGCGACAGTGACATGTTGACCTTGGCCAGAGCGTTCACGTGCCAGCAGTGCGGCGGTGATGGCCTGGGCCGCGGTTAATGCGGTCACGACATCGGGTATCAATGTCTTGATCATCTCAGGCCGCTGCCCGGGGCCACCTTGAACAGCGTTCAACCCCGACATGCCCTGAATGATGGGATCGTAGATACGTTTGTTTATGTATGGACCCTTGTTGCCGAAGCCTGAGATTGAGCAGTAAACGATGCTTGGGTTGACTTGTTTTAGAGTGTCGTAATCCAATCCCATGCGTTCCACCGCGCCGGGTCGAAAATTCTGTACCACTACATCCACGTAGGGAACGAAGCGTTTGATCATCTCATTGCCTGACTTATGCTTGAGGTCGATGGCGATGCCCTTCTTGCCTCGATTGCTGGCTACGAAGGTGGTGGTGAATCCGTCAACACTTTTCTGAGTATGACGCATGATGTCTCCATCGAAGGCTTCCACTTTGATGACCTCGGCGCCTTGGTCGCATAAATAGTTGGTTGCCAGTGGGCCGGACAAAACAGCGGATAAGTCAAGTATTTTAAAGCCAGATGCAGGGCCTCTCATTGCTCAGTCCTTGTAAATTGAGATTCTGTGGGGCGCATTAAGTCGGCCAGTTGCGCATCTGCGGTTGGGGCGAAAATGGCATCCAGGTCGGGTCCGCGCCGGAGTGAGTGGCCGCCGTCTACCCCCAGTAATTGACCTGTGATCCATGCCGCTTCGGGCCCGGCAAGAAAACGTACTGCGGCTGCCACATCTTCAGGTTTACCGAGTCGTTTGAGTGGCATTTGCGCCAGGTAGTCTTCACGTACGGCATCAGTCTGTTGCAATCCCGCGGCCATTTCAGTGGGTACCAACCCTGGTCGCACACCATTCACACGGATGCCATAGTGCCCAAGTTCGTCGGCGCTGTTGCGCACCAGCATTTCAACGCCTGCTTTTGCGACACAGTATTGACCGAGGTTGCGATGTGTCAGATGACCCGCGATAGACGATACGGCAACGATGGCGCCGCCATTGCCACGGCTCATAATGGGAGCCGCGTGTTTGATTGTCGACAGTGTGCTGGTTAACGTGAGTGCCAGCGTTGCGTTCCATGCTTCAAGATCGGTCAACACCAGGGGGCCTGCGGCGGCACCGCCACCGGCGTTGGCGACTGCTATATCCAGACGGCCGAGGGGTTCTGCTGCAGCTTCTACCGCAGCTTTGACCTGACTGTCATCGGTGACGTCGCACACAACGTATTGCGCATCATTACCAATCTCATCCAATGCAGCAGCGAGCACTGCCTCACGACGTGCACAGATTGTCACTCGACAACCATCATGAGCCAGGCGTTTTGCGATACCGAGACCGAGTCCCGTGCCGCCGGCTGTTACGAGAGCTGCGGTTCCTTCTAGACTCTTCTCCACTGCTGCTTTACCTCTTAGTTGTGTGGGAGTCGCTGAACCAATGCACTAGACAGAATGATGTCAGTCTGACAGTTCGTTGATGCCTGCGACGGCATTTACTGTTTACTTCAAATCGAACGTTAACTAGGATACTAGTTCTTGATGGGGGCGCAAGTGCGAGGGGAGTGATCATTGTCCGAATTGGATGTATTTCGTCGCGAAGCTCGCGCCTGGCTGGAGGAGAATTGTCCGGCCTCGATGCGTACCGATATGCCGGAGGAGGAAATTGTTTGGGGTGGCCGCAGGCAGGTGTGGTTTCATTCAGAAGCAAAGGTATGGATGGAGCGCATGGCCGAACGAGGTTGGACCATCCCGCATTGGCCGAAAGAATATGGTGGCGCAGGACTCAACCTGGATGAACGCAGGGTCCTCTTCGATGAAATGGACCGAATCAACGCTAGAGTCCCCCTGCAGAGCTTTGGCATATGGATGCTTGGGCCCGCGCTTCTCGAATTTGCCAGCGAGGAACAGAAGCGACACTACCTACCGCAAATTGCGAGGGGCGAGATTCGGTGGTGCCAGGGATATTCCGAACCGGGCAATGGATCCGATCTCGCCGGACTGCAAACCAAGGCAGAAGACAAGGGCGATCACTTTCTGGTAAACGGAGCCAAGATCTGGACTTCATACGCCGATCAGTCGGATTGGATCTTCTGTCTGGTTCGAACCGATCTGGACGCACCCAAGCATGAAGGCATCAGCTTTCTGTTGTTTGATATGGCCAGCGAAGGTGTCAGCGTCTCACCTATCCCGCTTATCAGCGGGGCTTCACCTTTCTGTCAGACATTTTTCGACAATGTCAAAGTACCGAAGAGTCAGCTCGTGGGCGAGTTGAACAACGGTTGGCCCATCGCCAAACGTTTGTTACAGCACGAGCGACAAATGGTATCCGTAATCCGCGGAAATTCGCCGTTAGCGCGTTCAACGAAACTGAAGCTCCATGCACTAGCGAAACAATATGCGGGTAACGGGGACCGCATTGTTGATGACTTTTTGCGCCGCCGCATCAGTCAGCATCAAATGGATGGCCAGGCGTTCAGGATTACCATGGCTCGAAGTGCCGAGGAGGCGCGCGCCGGACTTGCCGATGGCAACACAGCTTCGTTTATAAAGTACTACAACAGCGAGCAGAATAAACGCAAATACGACATCTTACTGCAGGTTTTGGGTACCAGGATGTTGGGTTGGGAAGGTGAAGGTTTTACAGATGGCGAGATCGATGTCACAAGACAATGGCTGCGCGCTCGCGCGAATTCCATTGAAGGGGGCACCAGTGAGGTACAGCTCAATGTTATCGCCAAACGAATTCTGGGGCTGCCGGACTAGATCAGTAAACTTAAGGGGAGAACATGAAGCTAGGACTTAGCATAGGCTATTCAGGTGGTGAGATGCGGCTACCGGTAGAAAAGGTGCAACTCGCGGAGCGGTTGGGCTATGACAGTGTCTGGACGGCAGAGGCCTATGGTTCTGACGCGTTGTCGCCATTGGCTTACCTGGCCGCCAAAACCGAGCGCATTCGGCTTGGTACCGGTGTTATTCAACTTGCGGGGCGAACACCCGCAAATGCCGCTATGACCGTTGCCACCATTGATGCCTTGGCGGGTGGCAACCGTGTGATCTGCGGCATAGGCGTTTCCGGACCGCAAATAGTTGAGGGCTGGTACGGCCAGCCTTGGGGGCGGCCTTACTATCGGCTGAAAGATTACGTCACCATTATGAAAAAGATTCTCGCCCGGGAAGAACCTGTGGTGCATGAAGGCAAAGAAATATCTTTGCCGTTCAATGGTGAAGGTGCCATGGGGGTTGGCAAGCCGCTGAAATCAATCCTGCACATGAATCCCGATATCCCCATTTGGCTCGGCACCGGTATGGAGTCAACGGTCAAACTGACGGCAGAAGTTGCTGACGGTTGGCTGCCGTTGGGGCTGGTGCCGGAAACCTGTAAGACTTATGAACCCTGGATAGAAGCTGGCCTCGAAAAATCGGGCAAGAACCGTTCTCAGTTCGAAACTCAGGGCGGCGCGGCAGTGGTCGTGACCGACGATGTACAATCCGCGCTGGATCGCATGAAGCCGGGCATCGCTTTATACGTTGGCGGTATGGGCCACAAAACGAAAAACTTCCACAAAGAAATGATGATCCGTCGCGGCTTTGGTGAAGCTGCGGAGCGCATACAGGAACTTTATCTAGCTAAGCAAAAGCGCGAGGCCATTGAGGCAGTGCCGGACGAATTTGTCGATCAGGGTGCTCTGGTGGGAGATAAAACGCGGATTCAAAAGCGCTTTCGAGATTGGGAGGACAGCGGTATCACCGGCTTGACAGTCAGCGGCAACGAAGAAGCCCTGCGCCTGATGGCGGATCTGGCCAGGCTCAATGTCGAGCCCTCTGCCTAGCAAACAATAATGTACATTTAAGGAGATACCTCTATGAGTTCCACTGATAACAATCAAGAACCGCCGCGCATGGTGAAATGGTCGCCACCATATCGGCGGGAAAACGTCGAAATGCCTGAATTCGATCTGATAGAAATCGAGCGCGATGCACCGATCGGTCGAATAATTCTCAACTCGCCTGAAAAGCGAAATCCGCTCGGCTACGAACGGCTGCTGCAGATCGAGATGGCGGCAAAGTTGCTGGAACTCGATGACTCTATTCGCGTGATCATCATCAAAGGGCAAGGACCAAGCTTCTGCGCCGGATACGACATTACGCCAGTCAAAAAAGGTGAACGGCAACGCAACATGCCGCCGGGTGGATACATTAATCCCAAACGTGATCGCTTGTGGCAGTCTTATGACCTGGAACATGCCCGTGTCTATATGACCTTGTTTGACTTGCAGAAACCAGTGATCGCGCAGATACACGGGGCTTGCCTTGCGGGTGGTAGCGAATTGGCTGGCTTCTGTGATCTGCGGGTTGTCGCAGAGGATGCCAAGATTGGCTGGCCAGTAGGCCGCAACTGGTCTCCTGGGAATCTGCAATATATCCCGTGGCTGGTGGGCATGACTAAAGCCAAGTATTACATGTTTACGTGTGAGCCGATGACCGGGCTCGATGCCGTGCAGTGTCAGTGGGCTTCTGAAGCTGTGCCCGAAGACAAGCTCGAGGAACGTACCGAAGAACTCGCGCAGCTCATCGCGCTGACCCCCACCGATCTAATCATGATGACTAAGCGCAGCATAAACCGGCAGTTCGAGGTCATGGGATTCAAAACCGGCATCGCGACCAGTGTTGATTTGCTCGCTCTTTCAAGCTTTCGTGATCAGGGATTGTATACACCCAGGTCTCAGGACGGCGAAGGTGGTGATGAGTTCATGCGACGTGCTGAGCGAGATGGTCTGAAGGCTGCGCTCAAGTGGCGCGAGGAAACTTTCGGTAATGCCTACCGCGGGTCAGAAGAAGGCGACTCGGAGCAGGATCAAACTGACTAAAGTTCAGGTTCCAGGCAGAGTCTCCGTCCAATATACGCGGTATTCGGACGGAGACGACCAGCCAAGAGCGCTGCGTGCAGGAAGCCGCTTTTTCTGAGCGCGCTACTTGGCGCCATCGAAAAACTCAGTAAATCCGGCTGGCGCATAGGGTCCCACGACTGCTTGCTCCAGCACGCCAATACCTTTTCGTTCTCCGTCCGAAGCCAGGACAACTTGCTGTGTGTGCAGATTCTCCCGTGCAAGCATGTCGAGCTGCCGTGGGTCGAATGACTCGCTGCCGGTCGCCAACTCACCCTTCCACATACCCTGACCCCATTCCGGATGACCGTAGCCGAGGCCTTTCATCTGAAATTTGAGAATGGGCTCGAGACGGATGGTACGAATTTCACCGTCTGTCTTTTCCAGGTCGATTTCTGCAGACGCGGCAAGACGGGTATTGGGATGGTAAGTAATTCTATGCCTTGCAGTGGCCATGCGCTCGTCTCTACCGTCCAGTACGCCTGGCACTTCGTCTTCAGCGGCATAAAGTGGTGCAATGATGCCTTCGCGGACGAGCGCTTCGCCGTTCGGTCCGTCGAAAAATATCGCGTGTGAAATGTGGTCATCCCAAAACAAAGGCGCCCATACAAAACAGATCCCGTCCGGTACAACTGGCGCGCCACCTGAATCCCGCTCGCCGACGCCACGCACCCCCCAGGAACGGTCCTTGGTGCCGTGACAGATGTCAGGTTCGACATCAATGTGACCTTCCGGGTGAGAGACTGTACCACTCCAACGCCCGAATTGATCGAAACGGGTAGCATCCATCACCCGCCGCGTGCCGCTCCACAAAGTTTGATGTGCTTCCTCGATGGATGCGCTGCGGGCACTAAAGGTGAGATCGCAGGTGATACCGCTTTCATTCTCATCCAGCACCACCCGTATCCGTTTCATAGGTTCGAGAATTTCTATCCGGAAGGGGCCACACGTCATGTCCGTGCGTTCCTGCGGTGCGCGGCGGGAACCATAAAAACAGTGCTGCAGCTTACCTGGCTGTACCACGCTGAACGCGCAGTCCAGAATGCCTCTATGTGGATAAATCGCCATGCCGATACCGAAATAATAAGAGCCATCATTTGCATAGCCATTGAACCAGGTTCTGTCGTACACGTTGCGGTCGCTGGTCGCGGGGTGCGCAATCGGTTCTGCAGTCTGGTGTATCGGATAGTCGTCGAGCTTATTGAGCATGTCGTTTATACCAACAGTAGATAATCGGAAGCAGGGTAAAGGTTACCTAGATTGGGTGCAGCCGTACCGGCACGTCTCTGATGCCTCGAATGAAGTTGTTCGATATACGTTCAACGTCTCCAACCACTTCAACCATGTGGAATCGCTTCATAATCTCTTCCCATAATACGCGTAGCTGAAGCTCGGCAAGGCGATTCCCCATGCACCGGTGCACACCGAACCCGAAGGCCACATGCGACCTTGCGTTAGGACGATCGATAATTAATTTGTCAGGATCTTCGAATACGGTTTCATCCCGGTTGCCTGATAAGTACCACATGACAACCTTGTCACCTTTTTTGATGTGCTGTCCGCCCAGTTCATAATCTTCGAGCGCGGTGCGCCGCATATGAATAACGGGCGTCTGCCAGCGAACGATCTCGGCAACCATGTTGGGAATCATTGTGGGGTTATCGCGCAGCTTCTGATACTGGTCGGGATACTTGTTGAGTGCAATTACACCGCCGCTGATGCTGTTGCGGGTGGTATCGTTGCCGCCGACGATCAATAGAATGATGTTGCCGAGGAACAGTTCAGGGTCTTCATTCATTTTTGCCGTTTCAGGGTTTTGCTGCAGCATGGAGATGAGGTCAAAAGACGGCGGCTGCCCCAATTTTGACATCCACAGTTCGTAGAATGCCGATGCGCAACCCATAAGTTCGTCATAGCGCTCCTTCATATCGATGCTGTGATCACCTGTGACCTGTGGAACCGCGGTGGCCAGGTCCGACCAGTGCACCAGCTTGCGGCGCTCTTCATAAGGGAAGTCAAACAGGGTGGCGAGCATTCTGGCGGTCAGCTCTATCGACACCTCCTGCACCCAGTTGAATGTTTTGCCCACGGGTAGGCTTTCCAGGATATCGATGGCCCTTTCGCGGATCAGCGGCTCGAGCTCTGCCAGATTCGTTGGCGCCACAGATGGAGAAACCGCGTTGCGTTGTTTGGCGTGTTCCGGTTCGTCCATCGCGATAAAATTTTTGCCTTGGATCTGACCTTCTATCGGCACGAGGTCGACGATCGAGATACCGCCTTTTTCCGAAGAAAACACGGTGTTGTTGGAATCGACTTCTTTGATCAACTTGTGACTGGTAACTGACCAGTACGGTCCATTTGCACTGTCGTTAAGGTAATGTACCGGTGCTTCTTTACGAAGCCTGGCAAACAACGGTTGCCAGGTGTCTTTTTGATAGAGTTCCGGTCGGCTGACATCGATTGCCGACAGTGGTGTAAAAGATTGGTTATTGGCTGGATCAGAGGGCATGTTTATCTCCAAGGTACATCTCATTGACCGATAATCATGATACTGATTATTAGTGAATGTTTACAAGGCGAAGGCAAATGTGTTTGCCGTATTGGTTGGGTCGTGACAGTGACTTTGGTTCTCGTTGAGCCCGATATGCGGAGTTCCACGGGCGCCCGCATACCTTATCGCTAGTTGATGATCACGAAGTTTCCAACGCCATATTTGTGTATTTGTCGGCAAGTGCCTGGATACCTGGCGATATCTCAACATCGTGGGGCGTGTAGTTCGGCAGGTATATACGCAACAAACCCGGCATAAGGCTTCCGATCCTTGCTGGCTGGACCGCTGCAAGCTTTTCTTCCCGATCCACTGCATCTTTTTCACGTTTTGGCTGCGGACGCACTTTCAGCATGTATGTCGTCACCCGACGTATCCAACGGGTGAAGTGCCACTGAGCCCAGATTCCAACGAACAGGCGATAGAAATAGTCTCCGAACACATGGTCATAGACGTCGAAGGCGATGGTGCGGTGTTCGAGTTCCTCAACAAAATGCCATTCAACCATCTGCATGAACAATGGCAGATCGTTACCAAAACCGTTCGGCTCCATCATGTGTTTGACGGCATTCATTGTCAGAGCTTCAAAACCCTCAGCATAAGCCAGGTTGAATTTTAGCGACTTAGTATTTGTAAAGCGGTGATAGTCATCAGACAGCTCTTTCTCAAAGGCTTCCAGTTCCGGAAACCCGGCGAGCCGTACAGTCTCGTTAAACTTTTTGTGCATCTGGTAATGCTGTGCTTCCTGGCGTACAAATTTATCCAGGCCATCTGCTACAACGGGATCAGTGACATGTTTTTCAGCCGCTTTCATTGATCGAATGAGGTAAGGCTCCAGGTGAGGTAGCAACAGCGAGCCAGCGATAAAACCGAATGAACGTTTGTGGTCCCCGTCAACGAATACAGCATCGATATCCGTGGGAAACTCAAACGGCATTTTCCGCACGGTAATCTCATCCAGCATGATTTGTCCTAAAAATTCAAAATGAGTTTAAATAGTATACTATTAATGTTCGCGCTGTGTTGTAAATAGAAAAAAGAACCCTTTTCGTTCGACCGTAAAGTACAGGAACAGGAACAGGAACAGGAACAGACAAATGGTGCAAAAAACATCCAAGATCGATGTACTGATACGTGGTGGAACGCTTGTTGATGGGACGGGTTCAGTACCGGTGACCGGAGACATTGCCATTGCTGGTAACAAGATTGTTGAGGTAGGCAGTAAAATCTATGCGCCACGAGCTAATGTCATTGACGCAGATGGCGCTGTCGTTGCCCCCGGTTGGGTCGATATTCACACGCACTATGATGGTCAGGTGACATGGGACGATACCCTTGATCCTTCATTCAGCAACGGCGTCACAACTTTTATTATGGGCAATTGTGGTGTTGGCTTCGCGCCCTGCCGCAGCGGTGACGAACAAGCCCTCATGGATGTGATGGAAGGTGTTGAAGATATTCCAGGTACAGCCCTGGCGGAAGGTGTGCCCTGGGGTGCGTGGCACACGTTTGAGCAATACCTCGATTACATTGGCCAGCGCAATTACTCGATGGACTTTGGCACCCAACTGCCACACAGCGCGCTGCGTTTGCAGGTAATGGGCGAGCGCGCCATGAATCATGAAGATGCAACAGCAGACGATATCGCATCGATGCAGGCGCTGGCTGAGTCCGCGACGCGGGCTGGAGCGCTTGGATTTTCGACTTCACGGACTGTCTTCCACCGCAACATTGACGGAAATGCAATTCCAGGCACTTATGCCAGCGCTGACGAGTTGATTGCGATCGCACAAGGCATTGCTGAAGGCGGTGGTGCTGTCATCGAAGCGATTTCATCCTCCTCCATTGGTGATATGGCCGCCTTTGGAGGCGAACGCTTCACCGCAGAACAGGAAATGGACATGTTGGCAATACTTTCGCGGTCGAGTGGATTGCCGGTGACTTTCACAACAATCCAGACGCCAGACCATCCGAATGACTGGCGTAAGGTTTTACATTTTGCCAGCTTGCAAAATACCAACGGCGCGTGCCTACGCCCACAGGTCGCGTCCAGACAGATCGGTTTGCTCTCTGGCTTGACCGGCTATCACGGTTTTATGAACCGAGGTGTCTATATCGACGAACTGGCCTTTCTGCCCCTGTCTGAACGCGTGCAACGTATGCGTGACCCAGAGATGAAACGCAGAGTATTGGCGGATGTTGATCGTAACGTCCAAAATGCCGGGTCGATGGCAGCCCTAGCCAACGTCTTTTTGTTAAATGCGGAGAAACTCTATCCTCTGTGTGATGGGTTTGATTACGAACCCACGTCTGACGAATCTCTTGGCGCGCGTGCCTCGCGAACAGGTAAGGTCATCGATGAGGTGCTGTACGATTATCTGATTGAAAATGAGGGCACCGGCTTCGCGGCAATCCTGAGTGCAAACTATATAGAAGGCAATTTGGACGTTGTGCGTGAGATGTTGGCTCATCCGGAAACTGTTACAGGGTTAGCCGACGCGGGTGCCCATGTGAATCTCATCTGCGATGGTTCAATGCCAACCACTCAGCTGAAACATTGGGCAGGCGGGCGCACGCGCGGCGAAGCTTTCCCCATCGAATTCATTGTTGAAAAGCAAACCCGTCGCAATGCGCGGCTCTATGGCCTCAAGGATCGCGGGACATTAGAGGTCGGCATGCGTGCGGACTTAAATGTGATAGATATGTCAGCGCTTTCTGTCGCCATGCCTGTTTCTCATCGTGATCTGCCGGCAGGCGGCGCGCGCTTGCTGCAAAAAACTTCCGGCTACGAAGCAACACTGTTAAATGGTATTGTCACCCGGCGCAGTGATGAGGACACTGGCGCTCGACCAGGACGCCTCGTACGCGGCTAGTCCTTTAGCGAAAAATTCTCGACTGGGCACAGGGTATCCCCTTTGCTTACATGCAAGCCATTTGTCTGATTGCGCCCGTTTGTCTATGCGTATCGACTATTGCCGTCCTGATCCTATAAGGCCTGACGTTGATTCAGCGCTGCTGCATTGTCATGCAGGATCAGCTTTTGCTGGGCTAAATCAACACCATCCAGCTCATCAAAAATATCCTGCGGATGTTCCAGACCTTCCATATGGGGCCAGTCCGATCCAAACAGCACGCGATCTGCACCCATGTGTTTCGCCACGTCCGATATCTTGTCTTCCCAGAAAGGATTGATCCACACATGTTGACGGAAAAGTTCGGCAGGGTCCTGATCATAGTACTTCGGCATTCTGATTTTCGAGTGTTCCAGCTTGATGAAGAGATCCGCCAAAAAGCCGGAGCCGTTTTCGACAGAGGCGATGCGCAGGTTAGGGAATCGCTCAAAAAGTTTGTCGTAAGCGAGTGTGAGTAGAAAGTCGTAAATGGCTCGTTCGCCTATAAGGCCCGCGACTGTTGGCTTGCGTCCACCGCCCAGTGCTTGCAGCGCGGCGTTTCCACCGTAGCCATTTGCCGTGTAGTTATTGGCGCCGACATGCGCAACAACGCTGATTCCAGCTTCATTGACTCTTGCCCAGAAAGGGTCGAACCGCTCATCCGATGGCGCAAAATAACCGTCGCGCGTGCAAACAGCTGAAGGGCGCATCACTAGCACTCGTGCATCCCGTTCCAATGCCCACTCAAGCTCGCGACAGGCAAAGTCAACATCTGCAAGGGTAATGTATGGCGCGGCAAACAGTTTATCTTTGTAATTTAGCCCCCAGTCGTCTTCGAGCCAGCGGTTAAAACCCTCAAACAGGGTACACATCGCATCAATATCATGAGTCATGGGTTCTTCGTATAGAATTCCGGCAGTCGGGAAGAGCCAGGCACCTTCAAGTCCCTGTTCCTTGATTCGCTCTACTCTTAAGTCCCGGTTCATATATTCAGGCGGCATGGGCTCAAGTGATCCATGCGTCAGTTCAATGAACGTCTTACCTCTTGGATTACCGTGGTAGTACTCGCGCAGTACGCCTGGTTTAGAAACCGGATTGAACGTTGGATTCCCAACAGAATGATTGATCTTGCCGGCGACCAGGTGATGTCTCTTACCGTCCTGCATTTCGATCCACTGGACACAACGCCTCTGCATACGAATTGGTACGTAACGCGTGAAAGCGTCCTCTGCTTCGTAGTAGTGGTTGTCTGCATCGAACATCAATCCGTCATATTTTTCTGTGCTAGTGTTCATTTTGAAACTCTGAGTTAATTCTCTATAACTAGTATCATGTTAATTATCGACAATGTAAACTTACTCCGCTCATTGAACTGGTAATGGTGCCTAATTAGCTTTCGCTTGAAATGATTTTGTGTTTATGCCAAAGGATGCACAATCCATTGCGATAAATTAGTATCATAGAATGGGTGTATTTCAACTCATCTTTTTATGAAAAAATAAACCCTACCGGACAAACAGGAGTCGCATCATGTATCCAGGAAACTGGTCGAAAGTATTTCCTGACAAGCCCGCGGTGGTGCATGCAACCTCGGGTGATTCAATCACGTACCAACAGCTGGATGATCGTTCAAATCAACTGGCACAGTTAATGTGGCAGCAAGGGTTACGCAAAGGCGATCATGCCTCCGTATTTATGGAGAACAATCTGGCGTTTTTTGAGGTTGTCTGGGCAGCTTTACGCTCTGGTCTGTACCTTACTACGGTGAATCAATACCTCACCGATGACGAAGCGGCGTACATTGTCGATAACTCGGAATCAAAGGTACTCATCACCTCTAATAAACTATCGGAGGTTGCGGTAAACCTGCCAGCACTTTGCCCCGGCGTAGAACGCTGGCTGATGGTAGACGGGGCAGAAGAGGGATATGAGGACTATACGCAAGCCATCTCCTCGTTCCCTGCGGAGAACCTCGACGAAGAACCAGCAGGAGCTTTCATGTTGTATAGCTCTGGCACCACAGGCCGTCCCAAGGGTATTCTCAAGCCTCTACCCTCCTGCTTAATTTCAGATAAAGGCAATGGCCTCGGCGGTTTACAAAAAAGCCTCTGGGGAGTCGATGAAAATTCAGTCTATCTGTCACCCTCACCACTCTATCATTCCGCACCTGCTGGTTTTTGCATGGGTGTCCAGGCACTCGGCGGTACAGTGATCATGTTACCCAAATTTAACGAATTGCAGGCTTTACAGGCAATTCAGGATTACAAGGTGACCCATAGCCAGTGGGTACCGACCATGTTCAGCCGCATGTTAAAGATTGATGAAGCAGAACGGAATGTATTTGACCTGTCATCCCAGAAGGTCGCTATTCATGCCGCAGCACCCTGTCCTCGTCAGGTAAAACAGGCGATGTTTGATTGGTGGGGGCCTATTATTTATGAGTACTATGCCGGCACTGAAGGTAACGGTCTGACCCATGTGACACCGGAAGCCTGGCTGAGCAAACCGGGTACGGTCGGCCAGGCTGTTATCGGAACCATTCACATTTGTGATGAGGAAGGTAACGAACTTCCCAATGGCGAGCCGGGGTTAGTTTATTTTGAATTGCCCCGCATGCCATTCAGCTATCTTAAAGACGATGACAAGACCAGAAATGCACAACATCCGAAACATCCGAACTGGAGTGCGTTGGGTGATGTTGGATATGTTGATGACGAAGGTTTCCTTTTCCTGACGGATAGAGCGACATTTATGATCATCTCTGGAGGGGTCAATATTTATCCGCAGGAAATCGAAGACGCGCTCACGATGCATCCAAAAATTGCCGACATCGCGGTATTCGGGGTGCCCAACGAAGAAATGGGTGAAGAAGTTAAGGCAGTGGTGCAACCGGCAGAGGGGATTGAGGGTGACGATGCACTGGCAGCTGAATTGATGGCTTATGCTCGAGAGCACGTTGCACATTACAAGTGCCCCAAGAGTATTGATTTTGAACCAGAATTACCGCGCCTGCCAACGGGCAAACTGTATAAGCGGCTGCTCAAGGATAAATACTGGGGCAAGAAAGACACCCGCATTGTTTGACGCGCCGCATGTTTAACCTGCTTGGGAGCGTGCGAACATAAATTTAACTGTAAAGGCTCTACATGACTGATTTTCCAACTCCTAATATATCGAACGACTTAACGGGTCACGTAGCGCTTGTGACGGGTACTACTTCCGGTCTGGGTCGCAGGTTTGCGCTTGTGCTTGCTGCCAGTGGCGCCAAAGTTGCACTGACTGGCCGGCGCGCCGATCGGCTGGATGAGCTGGCGGAGGAAATTCGTGCGGCCGGGGGTGTCTGCGAGCCCATTCCGTTCGACATCACACAGTCTGAACAGATTAACGAGGTGCTCGACAAGGCAGAAGCTGCGCTTGGGTTGGTTGACTTGCTGGTCAATAATGCCGGTATTCCCGATGCGCAAAGAGCGCACAAAATGGATGAGGATCTTGTTGATAGGGTGTTCTCAACGAACCTGATTGGACCGTGGAAACTTTCCTGTGAAGTTGCGCGCCGGCTCATCGCTGCAGAAAAGCCCGGCCGTATGGTGAACATCTCTTCTGTTGGTGCATTTAATTATAGCGGTGGTGGAGCAGCGTTGTACTCGGTAACCAAGTCTGCAATTGTGCGCATGACAGAGTGTCTCGCTGTGGAGTGGGCTCGATACAATATTAATGTCAACGCGATTGCACCGGGCGCATTTGCGAGCGAGATGATGGACGGCATGCTCGAGCGGATTGGCGACATCACAAAACACTTTCCCCGCAAACGTCTCGGTGATCCTGCGCAGATGGACTCGACCCTGCTTTACCTGATGTCTCCGGCTTCAGAATGTGTCACCGGCACTTTTATTAAAATAGATGATGGTCAGGGTTCACGTTAGCTTATGAGTAAAAGAGGGCGTTGAAATCCCGAATAAAACACACTGGAAAGGTTAAGAAAAAAGGAAGCATTTATGATCAGTGAACAAAATCAAAGCTTTCGAGCCGATGTTAAAAAATGGATAGAAGATAACTTTCCGAGCACGCTGGCGGGTGAGAATCCTGCAGTGGTTGGTTATGCCGCAGATCTTAAAAACGATCATGATCTCTGGCGCCAGCGGCTGGCAGACAATGGCTGGGGTGCACCAACTTGGCCCAAAGAGTATGGCGGTGCAGGTTTAGGTCAGCGTGAAGAGCGCATTATTACTGACGAACTATCCAACGCGAATGCATTCAATCCAATTCCCACAATCGCACTGATGGGTGTGACAATGGTGGGACCAACAATTCTCGACTACGGCACTGAGGATCAGAAGAAAAAGCACCTCGTACCCATCGCAAGAGGTGAAGTGACATGGTGTCTTGGATTATCGGAGCCTGGCGCGGGTTCAGATCTTGCCGCGTTGCGCACTCGTGCAGTCGACAATGGTGATCACTATGTTCTCAATGGATCAAAAATCTGGACCTCGGGTGCACATCATTCGGATTGGTGTGGCGCTGTTGTTAGAACCGATCCTGATGCTAAAAAACGCAACGGTATCAGTTTTGTTCTGCTGCCTATGAACCAGGAAGGCGTTGAAGCGCGTCCGCTTAAACTCATTTCGGGTGCGTCGGCATTCTGTGAAACGTTTTTCAATGATGCAATCGCCGAAAAATCTGATCTGTTGGGCGATTTAAATGACGGTTGGAGCGTTGTTAAGCGTTTGTTACAACACGAAAGGCAAAGCCAGATTGGTGCACGCACGGCGGGCAGCAGATCGGAACGGATGCAGGATCTCGCCAGGCGTTACATCGGACTTGATGACAAGGGCATGCTTAACGACATCGATCTGAGGCAAAGGCTGGCTAACCACTTAATGGATCGACAATCGCATGCACTGACGCTTGCACGAATTGCTGCCGAATCAAAAGGTAACGTCGAAGTTTCTGCTGCCGCTTCAATACTGAAAAACTCAGCGACAAATGTTTCTCAAACCCGCGCCGATCTGACGCTTGAGATTATGGGCGACCAGGGCCTTGGCTGGGAGGGAGACGCGTTTGACCCTAATGAATTGGAAACCGTAAGAAGTTGGCTTTATGGCATGGCAGCTTCCATAGCCGGTGGTTCATTTGAAATCCAATACAACATCATTTCCAAAAACATTCTGGGCTTACCTGAAACCACCCAGCAAGGCTGAACCCTTTTTAGGAGCATAAACATTGGCGGCACTGACTAGCGAGCAATCATTGATGCGTGACCAGGCCAAAGCCTGGGCAAGCAAACAAGCACCTGTGCAAAAGTTTCGCGCTATGCGCGATAGTGGAATCGAACAACGCTTTGACGATCAAACGTGGTCGGAAATCATTGAGATGGGATGGACCGGCATTCTGATACCGGAAGAGTATGGCGGTTCTGATCTTGACTACCTGACATTTGGTGTTGTGCTTGAGGAACTCGGACGGCAGCTTACAGCATCGCCGCTGTTTGCTTCCGCTCTGGTCGGCGCGACAGCGCTGAACATTGCGGGCAGCGATATGCAGAAAGAGACGTTTTTACCCAAAATCGTCGACGGCAGCGAAATCCTGACACTTGCGATTGATGAATCGCATCGACATGCGCCTGCCGAGGTTGCGCTAACAGCCCAAGCGACTGCAACAGGATTCAAACTGAACGGTAAAAAAGGCTTTGTCCTGGAGGGGATGGCGGCGACAACGTTCATTGTGGCCGCGAGAACCAGCGGAGAACCGGGGGATACAAACGGTATTACTCTTTTCCTGGTCTCAGCCGATAGTTCAGGTTTACATCGCAAATTTATCTCTACAGCGGACAGCCGAGGTTACGCCAACATGACTTTCGATGATGTTGAAGTTTCCTCAGACGCAGTTTTGGGAGAGGTAGATGAAGGTTGGGAAGCGCTCGATGCAATTCTTGATCGTGCGCGCGCTGGTCTCGCGGCAGAAATGCTTGGGTGTGCTGCACAGGCATTTGATATGACATTGGATTACCTGAAGACAAGGGAGCAATTTGGTCAACTAATTGGTTCCTTTCAGGCACTTGGGCATCGTGCCGCGGCACTGTTCACCGGGCTGGAACTGGCCCGTTCATGCGCTGAGGCCGCACTCCAGGCGATCGATGAAGAAGTGGATGACATCCCGCAAATGTGTTCACTCTCTAAATCACGTTTGAGTGACTTTCTGCACCAAATGTCGACGCAGCTTATCCAGATTCATGGTGGCATCGGTATGACCGATGAGTTTGATGCAGGCTTCTATTTGAAACGTGCAAGAGCGTTGGAAGTTCGTTATGGCAATGCGGGCTTTCACCGGGATAGATATGCGTCAGCGCTTGGGTTTTGAGATGCCGCATTTTTCAATGTAATAAAGATACGCCCTCATCTTTCCCGTTTAGGACCAGCAGTGAAACAAGTTGTTCTGAAAAATAATCAGCTGAGTTTTTCCGCGTTCGAAGACGGCAAAGGCCCTCTGGTTTTGTGTTTGCATGGCTTTCCAGACAACTATCATTCCTATGATCAACAAATCCCTACTCTCGTAGACGCGGGCTATCGTGTTGTTGTACCGATGCTGCGAGGCTATGAACCGCAATCACAACCCGGCGATGGCGACTATCATCTAAATAATATGGTGGAAGATGTTATTACCTGGATTGATCAGCTTGGCGAAGAGAAAGTCCACCTGGTAGGGCATGACTGGGGGGCTGTGATCGGCTACTTAACGGCAAATACCGCTCCTGAGCGCCTTCTATCTCTAACCACCTTCGCCATCCCGCCTCTTCAAGGCCTGCCTATAGCCATTCGCAAGAACCCAGGGCAAGTCCTCTTATCCTGGTACACGATGTTTTTTCAATTGCGGGGCATTTCAGACTGGTGGGTAGAACGATCAGACTGGAGGTTCATCGAAAAGCTTTGGCGCGACTGGTCCCCTACCTGGGATATCCCCCAGGCGACTCTAGATTCCATCAAACAAACATTTGCACAACCAGGCGTGAAAAAAGCAGCCCTGACTTACTACCGGCACAGTTTTGACCGCCGTAGTGACAAAGCTAAAGACATTGCACACACCATGGCGCTTAAAACACTTACACCTACACTGGTTGTCGGTGGTTGGGACGATGGCTGTATGTCAGCCAAACTATACGATACGGCAGCACAGCCTGGTGATTTTCCTGGGGGGCTCAAAGTGGAAAGAATTCAAGGTGCGGGTCACTTTGTGCATCAGGAAAAAGCTGAAGTAGTGAATAAACTGTTGGTTTCCTGGTTTGAACAACACAATGTTTAAGACCTAACGGCAGGCGGTTTTGATAAAGATTAAGTCGCCTTGAACCTCACCGGCATAGATGTCACGCCACAGATAAAATTGCTCGGCATCCAAGTGACCTCGCCACTGAGTTCAATCTCATCCATGCGCGTCAACACCTCGCGCAGAATGGCGTCAATTTCCAAGCGCGCAAACCACTGACCCAGGCAGACGTGATGGCCGCCACCGAAGGCGATGTGCTTATTGTTGGTGCGGGTGACGTCCAGGTCATGCGGTCGGTCGAATACTTCCGGGTCGCGATTGGCTGCGCCGTAGTACATCACCACCTTGTCACCGGCCTTGATGTTCTGATTTGCGATCCTGGTGTTCTTTGTCGCCGTCCTGCGCATGTAGGTGACTGGAGAGGTCCAGCGGAGCAGTTCATCGCGTGCTGATGGCAGGTATCGGTCCACATCAGAGCGCAGTAGCGCCAGCTGCTCCGGGTGTTTCATTAGCTCATACATACCGGTGCCAACCAGATTGCGTGTCGTGTCGCCGCCCGCATCAATCAGCAGTAGAAAGAACAACAGGAACTCCATGTCGGTCAACTGACGACCGTCGACTTCCGCGGCCAGCAACTTGCTGGCCAGGTCGTTACCTGGGTTCGCGCGCTTTTCGGCCATTACTCCTGCACCATATTCGAACATCTTCGTTACCGCCTCTGGGATCGCATTGTCTGGCTGTGTCTCAGGGGCGGAGTGGATGATTTCGGTAAGCTTGTACAGTTCGCGGCCATCCTCCAGCGGCAAGCCGACGAGATCAGCAATCACATAGCTGGGCATCTCCCCCGCGATTTCATTGATGAACTCGCATTCGCCACGGTCAATCACCCGATCGACGATCAGTTTGGCAAGATCATTGATGCGATCGCTGTAGTTGCGCACCGGTCCCTGGGTAAACTCCCGGCTGATTAATTTGCGGTAGGCCGTGTGTTCCGGCGGGTCCATCACCAGCATCATCTTCTCGTTCTTTGGGGCCCCAGGCAGGCTGCCATCGGGGTCGGCTATCATGATGGTGGGTTCGCTGCTGAATAATTCGGCATTGCGCCCGATTGCGTGCACATCCGCATGTCGCGTAATAGCCCAGTAGCCACGTCCCCTGGGCTCATCGTGAAAGTACACAGGTTCATTTTCGCGCAGCCAGTCGTACTGATTGTGGGGATGTCCGCCTGAGAAGCTTTGCGGGTCGAGTAAGTTGATTTCCATGGCTGCCGCTCCTGTTCCTAAATCACCTTAACCCGGTCGGTTGGTTCGACCTTTAAATAAGTGCGACGGTCGAATTTTTTCATACTCTTCCACCACCGGCGCAAACTCTTCCGGCGTGCTGGCGTGAATGATGATGCCATCGGCACCCGCCTCGAATTGGGTGAGCCATGCTTGCGCGCATTGCTTTGCATTGCCTACGGCCGCAGGCCGCCATTCCTGTGGAATCACTTTTTCAACTTCAGCCAACTGCTCGGTGGTGGCAACGCTGTCAATCAAACCACCCACACTTCGAACAGCAGCTGACTGCCGAAAAGACTCCAGTGCTTCCGAATCCCAACCATTTATATTTGCCAGCATGTCGCCATAACCCGGAATCTGCAGATAAGTCGCAAGACGGGCGACAATATATTTCAGATAAGTCTCGTCGCTGACGTTGCAGCAGGTTGCAAAAACCGACCAGTTCTTAACAGTACCGGGCTCGCGTCTTGCTGCTGCTTCGCCTGTCCTTACCTGAGCAACCGCACCCGACAATGCCTTGTCATTCATAAACGTGTGCAAATGTGTGCCGTCATACACGCGACCCGCGTGTGCAAGACTTTTCGGACCGAAGCCGACATATAGAATTGGTAGAGCCTCATCCAAATACTCAGCGACTGACAAGACAGGATACTGACCAAGGGCGCCTTCATAGCCCTTAATTGTTTCTCCTTTCCAGAGTCTACGCATGAGATCGATAAAATCTCGCTCGCTCTCATAGTTAATGGGTTGCATGCCTCGTGCTCGCCAGCCTGCTGCGACGCCCTTGGCAAGTCCCAGCGCGAATCGGCCCTCTGACAATCGATGCAAAGTACTGCCAATCGACGCAGTTACCGTCGGGTGGCGTTTGTTGAGATTGGTTGCTGACGTACCAATGAATATCTCACTGGTCACAGCGGCAACAGCACCACAGATGGCAGAAATTTCCTTGTAGTCAGGCCGTTCAGAAATCATGATGTTACCGATGCCCAGGGCTTCAGCATCCTGCGCCTGTTTGAGGATATCTCGCGGTGAACGGGTATGCCCCGGCAAACCGTAAAAACCGAGTTCAGGGAACTTTGACTGATATTCCGGGTACATTTTTACCTCTAACCCAATCTGATTAACATAGTCGCGATATCCCTCTATCCCCGCGCGTCTTTGCCGATGCCGGAGAACTCAGGCTTGCGCTTTTCCATAAAAGACTGAACACCTTCCCTGAAATCACTGGTTTTCAGTGTTGCTTTTGTCATGCGATGCGCTTCCTTAAAAGACTCGGTAGGGTCTCTAAACAAGTCACGATAGAGCTGGCCCTTCATGCCTGCGATTGAGGCGGGCGAGCAGTTCGCTGCCAGGTCATTGATGTAGGCTATAGCCTCGTTTAACAGGTCTTCATCTGGGTAGACCCGGGTTGCCAGCTTCAGTTCTCTGGCTTCCTTGCCGTAAACTCTTCTACTAGACCACAAAATATCAAAGGCGGTATCCAGGCCGACCAGTTTGGGTAATATCCAAGCAGTACCTGCTTCGGCGATCAGCCCGCGTTTAGCGAAGGAAGAAGAGACATATCCTGATTCGCCGAAAAACCGCATGTCACAAAACAAGGCGCAAGGTAATCCAACGCCTGCAACTGCGCCGTTAACCGCAGCAATTATTGGCTTCCTAATGGTGGCGAAGTAACTGTAGGCGCCTCTACCAAACCCTTCAGGCATTGTTTCCGGAGCTCCCGGATTAGCGTCAAAGGATACGTCCGTCTCATCACTCTTTGAAAAGCCTCCCTGCGCTTTAAGCTTCTGCAGTTCCCTCATATCGGCTCCAGCACAAAATGCCTTGCCAGCGCCGGTAATAATGATGCCGAAAACCTCCTTGTCATCTTCAGCTTCTGCCATTGCATGTCTGAGTTCTGTTGCCATGGCTGGTGTCCATGAGTTCATCTGCTTCGGTCGGTTGAGCGTGATGATGGCTGCACTACCGCTGATTTCGTAGGTAATGGCGGAATACTGAACCACAGTCATATTGCGACCCCTGCTTTTATCGACTTGAGTATGCATAGTATCTATGATACTGGTTACTACAAGTAAAAAAACTAACGAATTCAAATGGAGTTGGAATTGCAGGAGCTGTGGCGGACTTAAATGGAATTTCCACTGCGGCATTGAGTTTCAACGCCTAAAATTCAGGAAAGATCAATGACCCACTATGACCTTATTATTCGCAATGGCCAGGTAGTAGACGGTACCGGGACGCCTGCGATAGAGGCCGACATTGCTGTTTCAGATGGGAAAATTGCAGCAATGGGCCGCCTGCTGAAGGGTACCGCAGCGCAAGAGATAGATGCTGTTGGCATGTTTATAACGCCTGGGTTTGTTGATGTTCATACACACTATGATGGCCAGGCAACGTGGGATACGCATCTGAATCCATCGTCAAGCCTGGGCACGACTACCGTTGTGATGGGTAACTGCGGCGTTGGTTTTGCGCCCTGTCGTTCTGAAGATCGCGAAGTCCTGGTTAAATTGATGGAGGGTGTAGAAGAAATACCCGAGTCTGCGATGCATGAAGGCTTGCCCTGGACGTGGGAGACGTTCCCCGAATTCCTCGATTGCATCGAAAGTCGTCCCCACGATATTGATCTGGCTGCGCTGGTACCACACGGTCCGCTTCGAGTTTATGTCATGGGCGAACGAGGCGTTAATCGAGAAACTGCAACAGAAGATGACATCGCCAAAATGAAAGCGCTTCTGGCAGAAAGTGTTGCCGCCGGTGGCCTGGGGTTTTCAACCTCGCGAACACTTGTGCATCGCTCCAGTACCGGTGCCTACGTGCCAACCTACCAGGCCGTTAGTAGCGAACTTAAACAAATCGCACAGGCATTATCTGGCGATAGCGGGCACGTCTTCCAGTTCATCGCCGACTGGGAAGATGCCGAAGACGAATTCAGTATCCTCAGGGACACTTCTGCCAGCACCGGGGCAAAAGGCACGTTTACACTGCTGGATATTAACGGCAGACCAGACCTGTGGCGCGACCACCTCAATCGCATTGAGGCTGCACAGGCCGACGGCCTCGATATTCGCGGCCAGGTACTTTCAAGACCAGTGGGCATCATGATGGGGCATCCGGCTTCGATGAGCCCATTTTATGATCGACCCAGTTTTAAAGCGCTGAACTCGTTGCCCTGGAATGAAAAAATAGCGGCATTACATGAGCCCGAAACGAAGGCAAAAATACTTCACGAGTTGAATGAAAACCCACACATTTTTGTAAAGCTTGTCAGCAACAACTACAAGAACATGTACGTCCTTGACGACCCCATTGAGTACTTGCCTGGCCCAGAACGTTGCATCGCTAATCTGGCTGCCGCGGAAAATAGAGATGCCGAAGAATGGCTATACGACTACTTTTTGACTGATAACGGCAACGCGCTTATTTATATTCCCGGTGCCAACCTCTCGGGCAATATACCTGAAATGTTAGCCCACCCTAACACGGTGGTCGCGTTAGGTGATGGTGGCGCGCATGTCGGATCCATTTGCGACGCCAGTGCCAACCTTTATCTGTTGAGTAAATGGGTAAAAGAGCAGGGGCGCTTCAGTTTGGAACAGGGCATCCACATGTTAACGCGGCAGCCGGCAGAGCTATATTCTCTGAATGACCGTGGCGTGCTGGCGCAGGGCATGAAGGCCGACATCAACATCATTGATATTAAACACCTTAAGTTGCACACACCGCACATCGTTTACGACTTGCCTGCGGGTGGCAAACGTTTCCTGCAACGCGCTGACGGCATTAAATCAACAATCGTGTCGGGTGAGGTCATATACCAGGATGGTGTGGCGACCGGTGCGTTGCCCGGAAAACTGATCCGAGGTCAGCAAGTAGACCCACGGACCTGAGTCTCATGAGTTTGATTGACTTGCATTTTAAACCATGATACTGGTTTGTCAGCGCGGGAGCGTGATTCTGTTTACATCTGGTGGTTAGGCCTGGTTGCAAAGAAGGGAGGAACTTTTAGGAAAGGAGCTTTGAGGAGAGGAACTTTGAGGAGAGGAACTTTGAGGAGAGGAACTTTGAAAAATCCAACGTTACAGCTTGCCTATGCGGCAATGCTACTTGTCTTGCCACAACTGGCCAGCGCGGCCACCATCGAAGAAATTGTAGTGACGGCGCAGAAGCGCGCAGAAAGCATCCAGGATGTGCCGATCAGCGTATCAGCATTTGATACCGAATCCATGGAGGCGCGGCAGATCGATACCTTCAGCGATCTACAATTCAATGTGCCGAACGTGTCCTACTCCAAGACCTTTTTCAGCGGTAACAACTTCCAGATCCGCGGCATCGGCAACGTGCTGGTGGCGGCCAGCGCCGACTCCGGGGTGGCCATGCACATCAACGACGTGTACCTGAATTCGCCGCGCATCTTTGAAACTGAATACTACGATATGGAACAGGTGGAAATCCTTCGCGGCCCGCAGGGAACACTATTCGGCCGTAACGCCACCGGCGGTGCGGTGAACGTGAAGACCGCAAGACCGGAAATAGGTGAGCTGTACGGAGACATCGAAGGACAGTTCGGCAACTTTGACCACAGGAAGATCAAGGGAGCAATCAACATTCCTATGGGTGATAAGGTGGCCGGGCGCATCGCGGGTATCTTCCTGGATCGCGAAGGCTATTCTGAGGACATAATCACAGGTGATGACATAGACGGCCGCGACCAATGGTCAGTGCGCGGTTCGCTGCGGTTCGACATCGCCGACGGCACGCGGCTGGACATCATCGGCCACCGGTTTGAAGAAGACAGTAACCGTTCGCGCAGACAGAAACAGGTGTGCAACCGCGACCCCAGTGCAATTCTCGGCTGTACACCGGACGGCCTGAGTTTTGAGCCGGTCAACGGGTTTGCCACTGCAGGTACCTTGTTGGCTTCCAACTTACTGCTCGGCCCGTTAGGTCTGTTTAACTTTTTCGATCAAACGTCAACTGCGGACAACCCCAGTGATTTGCGTAAGCAACGTATTCTGTATCAACCGGAATATGAATCGGAAGAAGACTTCCTTATGGCGGAGTTTTCCCACGATCTGACGGATACTGTCAACTGGACCTTGATTGCTGCTATGCAGGAAACCGAAATCTTCTCTCGGCAGGGAGACGGTAATGCACCCGGTATAGGCGCGGCCAATATTCCCGCTGGTTTTTGTGCTTTTTCCCCAGCGGCCTGTACCTACTTTGGCTTGCAAGAAGGGGGGGCGGCATTTATCTCCACCGTGCCTGATGGCGATACTTCCATCGGCGCGATCTCCGGGGGCAATGAATTCGCGCTCGATTCACGCAACGCATCAACAGATTTATCGAGTATCGAAGCGGAGCAGTGGAGTGTGGAAACCCGCTTTACCACCTCGTTTAATGGCCCGGTAAACTTTCTGCTTGCCGGTTATTACATGGAGTATGAAAACAAGGCGGACTACTTTGTACAGGCGCCAAGTCTTGACTATTCAGCGATGGTTCTGGCTCATGGCGCCGGCCCCTTTGTAGGAAGTCCCGATGCCTTCCTGTCTTTGGCGCCGGGTTTCTTCAGAAGCGAAACAGATCCGTTTGAGCTTGAAAGCACAGGCATCTTTGGTGAGATGTACTGGGACATTAACGATTCTCTCAAGCTGACCTTTGGGTTGCGATATACCGAAGATGAAAAATTTGTAGCTGACCGGCAGATATTTCTAAGCGTGCCGGTGCTTGTTGATGTGGCCAGCGATACCACCACTTTTCTGGGCTCTGATGGGTCTGCCACACCGGTAACTACCATAGACCAACTCATCAATGCTGCTGCCATTGCGGGCGACTATGATGGCGATCCGAACGTACCCGGCGGTCAGGCGTTCCGTGAGGACGATATCAGTTTTGAAGAAGTCACTGGCCGCATCGTGTTGGACTGGACTCCGGATATAGATCTCACTGATGAGACCCTGGTCTACTTCTCATACTCGCGTGGCTATAAGGGTGGTGGTATCAATCCGCCAATCGACACTGACCTGTTCCCGAATACGCCCACGTCTTTCGATCCAGAAGAGATCGATGCCTTTGAAATCGGCACCAAAAACACCTTCTGGGATCGCCGCGCACAGTTGAATGCATCCATTTTCTACTACGATTATTCTGGTTTACAAATCGGCAAGATTATCAACCGGACATCCTTGAATGAAAACACCGACGCTGACATCTACGGCGCAGAAGTGGAGATGCTGCTGCAGCCAACGGAAAACTGGCAGTTTAATGCGCAACTGTCGTATCTGGATACCGAGTTGGGTGAAACTGAGACGATTGATCCGCGTGATCCTACCCAGGGGCGTCAGGACGTCACCCTGATCAAAGACTTTGTCGATGCCTCCAACTGCGTGGTTGAGTGGAATGGTCAGGTACCCTTTTCAGACAACCCAGTCGCGACGGGGCTGCTTGCTGGCGCCTATTTTCCAACCGGTGAAGACCTGGGCGATTTTGGTGGCGTACCCGGAACGGTTATTCCTACCACGCCGAATATTCCCGATAGTGCATTCTCGTCGTGCGCGGGGGTGCGAGCAGTTGCCGGAGCGCTTGGCTATAACTATCTTGATAGTGTCGGGGTCAATCTGAAAGGCAATGAACTATTGAGCGCGCCAAAGTTTACCGCGAGCCTGGGAGGCCAGTACACCTGGTTCATGGACAGAGGCATGTCTCTGACGGCGCGGGTGGATTATTACTGGCAGGATGAATTTTATAGCACTACCTTTAATCGTCCCCAGGATCTCTACGATAGCTGGGACATCATTAACGCTCAGGTGCAGCTGAACGGCCCGGACGATCGCTGGTTCGCACGAGCGTTTGTGCAAAATCTCGGTGATGAAGACGCCGTCACGGGTACCACTCAGGGCGATCCTTCCACTGGACTGGGCACCAGTTTGTTTCTCATTGAGCCGCGGTTGTACGGCCTTACTCTGGGTATTCGTTTGAACTAACCCGAGTGGATCCGGAAGTGAACCCAAAGCCCATCGAGTGCGTCGAGGATATCTCGGCGCACTGGATGACGGCTGCGTTAAGACATGCCGGGTTGCAGGCTGATATTACTGCGCTCTCTTATACGCCTATCGGCACTGGGCAGATGGCGGATAGCTTTCGCTTGGACCTTGTTCACAAATCAGCAGACGCACCTGCACATCTGCCGCGCAGCGTGGTGGTGAAGATGCAGGCAGAGGACGAACTCAGCCGGCAGGCAGGTGCCGGTGGTGCCTACAATTCCGAAGTACGTTTCTATACCGATTTGGCGCCAACGCTGGCAATACGAACGCCGCGCTGCTACTACGCTGTCGGTCCTGACAGCGATTGCCGCTTTGCCCTGGTGCTGGAGGATATGGCGCCGGCGGAGCAGGGTGATCAGCTGCTCGGCTGTGATGTCGAAGCCGCGCGTGGTGCCGTGCTCAACTTGGCCGGGCTGCACGGACCGTGTTGGTGTAACCCTGAGCTGTTGGGCACGGTGTGGCATCGTTCGCCGGCCGAGAAGGATGTGTTGGGGGCCACGGTGCAGGACAGTACAGCGCGCTTTGTCGAGCATTATCGCGAACGCATCTCGCAACAGGATGTATCTGTGTTGCAGGCATTTGCGCCGAAATGCGGTGCCTGGTTGCACAGGCGCAGTGAGCGCTTTGCGCCGGTACACGGTGATTACCGTCTGGATAATCTTCTGTTTGGGCCGCACGCGGATGCCGGTGTTGAAGTCGCTGCTGTCGATTGGCAGACGCTTGATATCGGACTGCCTGGCCGGGATCTGGCTTACTTTCTTGGCAACAGTCTGATACCGGAAGAACGGCGTCTATGCGAAAAGACTTTAGTACGGGCTTATTACGACGCCTTAATGGGATACGGTGTTACAAACTATACATGGGAGCAGTGCTTTGAAGATTACCGGTACGGTCATTTTCAGGGCTTGATGATTACCGTGCTCGCCGCGGTAAGTTTATCCCATACTGAGCGGGGCGATGCGATGTTCATGGCTATGTCATCACGTGCCTGTGAAGCGATCCGGGATCTTGATAGCCTGGCGCTACTTTAGCTCCGCATCAAGAAGCACACATGGCCATCTGATATTGGCGTAAATCCATGCGTCGTAAATCATGTGGCTAGTGCTCTGTGTAACTAGCTACTCGAATGCTGCTCCCAATATTTGTCCTTCAGTAATCGCTTGTAGAGCTTGCTGGTTGGACGTCGGGGAAGTACTTCGACAAAGTCGATACTGCGTGGACATTTGATGTGGCTTATCCGGGCGCGCGCGTACTCGATGAGTTCTGCTTCCAGAACTGCTCCTGCGGCACTCATGTCTACTGGCTGAACGACAGCCTTAACCTCTTTGCCAAATTTCTCGTCATCATGCAGGTACTCAAACTTCGGCCCGCCTTCAAAATAGATTCCACCCGTCTCGCCGACTGGCTGTTCTTCATGATTATCATCCAGAATATGAATCTGGCATCCCAATGCCCGGCCAACGGAACCCTTGTGAGCGAGTCATTCTTCAGAAGTGATTGCGGTTGAGCCATTGGCCTCTGTGCCGCCGTAATACTCATAAACGATAGGCCCCCACCATTTGACCATCTGTTCTTTTATAGCCACCGGACATGGTGCGGCTGCGTGTATCGCAAGCTTATTGCTGGAAAGATCAAGCCCTGATCTGGCTCAGCAGGGAGCTTTAACATGCGAACGAACATAGTTGGCACCCACTGACTGTGAGTTATCCTGTGTTTCTCAATAAGCTGCAGGCCCTGTTCGGCATCAAAATGTTCCATGATGACGCAGGTCCCACCATAACGCGGACGCACATAGTGAAAGCCAGCGGTGCAGCATGTTAGAGAGGCGCGGGAGAGAGATAAATCGCGTTGTTGTAGAGATCGTACCGGACTCGCCTTGTCCGGGATGTTGGATCATCTTTTCCCCATGGTGTGTCCGGCAACGGGCGTTTAATGCCTTTAGGTTTGCCCGTTGTACCGGAGGAGTACAGTAAATGAGCTCCATTGGATTCATCCGGAATGGGGCGAGGGGTCTATCCGCAATTGCTGATTCAAAAGACGCCACACCCTCAACCTTGCCATCCACCATGAAGCAGGCAGGCAGATTAGTCAGCTTGCTATGGAGCGTAGCAAAGGTCTCAGCCAGTGCGTATGGGGTGATCAGTAATTTTGCGTTGTAATCGTTGACAATGTACGCGATTTCCTCGGACTGCAGTCGATAACTGATTGGTGTGTAGTAGAGCCCGGTACGTTGCGCGGCCCAGCAGATAGGGAGAAAACTCATGTGATTCTCAAGACAGATTGCAATGCTATCGCCCCTGACAAGCCCGAGACCGCGCAGCAGGTGAGCTATTTGGTTAGATGTTTCCTCCAGTTCTCCATAGGAAACCCGTCGATTTGCTCCTGCAAGGATGTACGCGGTGCTGTTTGGATCATGCTTGCCTGGATTGATATAAAAATAGCTCTGAGATTTCTGGTTGCCGAGTAGGTTGAAACCGAAGCCGGTTCATAAACCTTATTCCCTTGTACTAAATTTAGATAAACATACGTCTATAAGATTAGATATTTGCATGCATTGCTTAATTCAAACGATTACTAGTATCATAGATACACATTTAGATCAGTTAGGGGAGTGACTGTGAACTCAAAGGTAAGATTACTTATAGGTTTTGTTGGTGCGCTGACGGTGCTGGCTGGTTCCCAGCTGGCGGTTGGCGCCGAAAGCAAGTCTTCGTCGCTGATGGAAGAGGTTGTTGTCACAGCCCAGAAACGCGAAGAGAACATGCAGGATGTGGGTATCGCGGTGTCAGCTTTTTCTGGTGACCAGATCCGCGAACTGGGCATGAACCAGGGCTATCAGGTTGCTGACCAGGTGCCGAACTTCAACTTCAACGCTACTGGGGGCGCCACATCTCCTGTTGCTTATTTCAACATTCGGGGCGTACAGATTGTTGATTTTTCGCTGGCCAATGACCCTTCGGTTGGCGTCTATCGAGATGAAGTGTATCAACCCGCCCAGGGCGCATCGCTTGCGCAGTTGTTCGACGTCGAACGGGTTGAAGTTTTAAGAGGACCTCAGGGCACACTGTTCGGTCGAAATATCACGGGGGGACTGCTGCATACCATTTCCAGGAGCCCCACTGAGGAAACTACTGGCTACGTTTCCGCATCCTACGGGGAGTTCGACAAGTCGATTGTCGAAGGCGCTATTGGCGGCAGTCTAACCGATACGGTTAGAGCCCGAGTTGCTGTTCAAACTCTGAACCAGGATGGTTGGCAGACCGATCAGATAACCGGGCAGGACGACTTTGGTGAAGCGGAAAGCTGGGCAGCCAGGGCCATTGTTGAAGTTGATTTGAGCGATCAGTTGCTGGGAACTTTCGCCATCCATGGCTCGGATGCAGATTCAACCACGCCCCAACGGGGCTTTTTCGGCAACCTTGATCCCCTTACCGGCGATCGTTGCATACCCCAACGTATCTATAATTCCGAGTGTGTTAATGCAGCCGGATTCCGCGATCCCAGCCCTTCTCCTGAAGAGGTCTACACAGATGTTACGCGGGAGTCATTCAGCAAGGCGTCCGGTGCCAGCGCAAAATTTGAGTACTCAACGGATTGGGCAGACTTTGTCTCAGTGACCGGCTATGAAAAATATGAAGGTCAGCATGGTGGTCAGGTTTCCCCGCCGGGCAATCTGGCCCTTGGATTCATTTTCCACACTGAGGTAGATAGCTTGAGCCAGGAATTTCGCGCCACTGGGGATACCATGGGTGGAGGTACCTGGGTTGCAGGTGTTTACTATTACGAGGATGAAAAAGACAGCGACAGCGCCACGATGGTGAACGCCAATCCATATTACCCATTAGTGCGCAGGACAAGCACCGAAACCTGGGCAACTTTCATGCAGCTGGAGCAACCATTGAGCGAAACAGTGAGTATAGTTGTAGGCGGAAGGTACACGGATGAAACGCGCTCACTGGATTTTATTACTGAGACAAATCCATCAAACCCCGCTTTCGGGCCAATTGATCTCACTCCGCTTGGCGATGATGATGAGATCGAATCTGGAGAATTTACCGGCAAGTTCGGCCTTGAGTGGCGACCTAACGATGCGCTCATGCTGTACGGAAACTTCTCGCGAGGCTACAAGAGCGGTGGCTTCAACCCTGAAAGAGATCTGAGCCGTGTTGGTCCAGTAGATCCGGAAACGCTCAATGCGTGGGAAATGGGCTGGAAATCGGAAATGGCTGGCGGGCGTGTTCGCTTCAATGGCGCGGTATTTTTGTATGACTTCATGGGTTATCAGTCTCTTGTAACCAGAACGAGCGAGGAAAATGATGTTGTTGTTGTGGAAACGCGCTTCATCAATTCAGGTAATGCTGATATCTACGGAGCTGAGCTCGAGCTAACCGCTCTTCTGAGCGACAATCTTTACGCGTCTCTTGGCGTTGGTTTGCTCGACACGCAACTGAATTCTGATGATTCGGTGACTGTTGATGGCACGCCAATCGACGGCAATGAACTGCCAAATTCTCCGAAAATGAGCCTTAACGGTGTACTTCGTTATTCCATTCCTACTGACGCAGGAGAATTCGCCGTTCAGGGAGACTTCCGCTGGCAGGATGATATTTACCACAATGTAGACAATCACCCCTTTGAGATACAGGAGTCTTACGCAATTTTCAATGTACGGGCATTCTGGCGATCGCCCGATCAGAAGTGGAATGCGGAAGCATTCATTGAGAACGTTGGAGATGAAGAGTATGCGCTGCAGTCTCTCTACAGCACTGCGCTGGCTTCATCCAACCGATCGTGGGGTTACCCACAATGGTGGGGCGTGAGATTCGGCTACGAGTTCTAGCCGCTACACTCCAATTGAAGCAGGCAGATCCAACGGGATTTGCCTGTCTGAAAAATATCGTTAGATATATTTTAAGCTGCTAAGTTTGGCCCCTGTTGCTCGCCCTCGGCAGTAAGAGTTTGGTTCAGCTCCTTGAGACACAGAGGCATCGTCACCATATGCAATCCGCCACAAGTGAAGCTACCGAAAAACTTTCCACACCCTGGTACCGAAACTATGTTCTGGGCGTTCTCTTTCTCGGTTCTATAGTTAACTTTGTCGATCGGACTATTCTGTCCATACTTCTAGAACCGATAAAGCTTGAGTTGCAGTTAACAGACACGCAACTAGGTTTGCTGGGCGGCTTGGCCTTCGCTATTTTCTATGCAACGCTGGGAATTCCGGTAGCAAGCCTGGCTGATCGATGGAGCAGGGTCAAAGTCCTGTCGATCTCGATGATCATCTGGAGTGCGATGACTGTGCTCTGCGGAATGGCAAACAGTTTTGCCTCTCTGCTGCTTGCACGCATTGGTGTAGGTGTAGGAGAAGCCGGAGCCAGTCCTCCGTCTCATTCACTGATATCTGACTACTTCCCGCTTGAGAAACGAGCTACAGCGCTTGCGATTTTCTCGCTTGGTATTCCAGTTGGTTCGATGATTGGCAACTTTGTCGGAGGATGGGGAGCAGAAGCATTCGGCTGGCGCACAACTTTCATGATGGTGGGTCTACCTGGTGTTGTCATCGCGCTCCTGATTCTAGCTACCCTGCGCGAACCGCCAAGGGGCATGACTGACAAAGTCGCCACGAACCAGGATATGCCTCCACCGCCGATGCTCGAGACACTTCAGTTCCTGTGGTCGAAACCTTCATTTCGGCACCTGGCCCTCGCCGCCGGTCTACATGCCTTCGTCAGTTACGGATACGGTGTGTGGAATGCTCCATTTCTGATCCGAAGTCACGAACTGACTCTACCAGAAGTTGGTGGATGGCTGGGAATCATCGCCGGAGTTGGAGTGATCGGAACCTTTTCCGGCGGGTTTCTTGGCGACAAGCTGTCCAAGTGGCGGGATGACTCGCGTTGGTACCTTTTTGTATCTGGGATCTCAACTCTGGTGATGGTGCCATTCCAATTTGTTGTATTCCTGCATAGTGAACTGTGGGCTGTGATTAGTTCGATGTTTATTGCTTCGATCATGGGTGGCATGTTTCTCGGACCATCTTTTGCGATTTCTCATGCATTGGTTGCGCCCCGGATGAGAGCTGTTGCTTCAGCAACTCTATTGTTCGTAATCAACATTATTGGTATGGGATTAGGTCCTTACTTCGTCGGGTTTCTGAGTGACCTGCTCACTCCTGCTTTCGGTATTGATTCTTTGCGCTACGCGCTTTGTATTGCGCTGACGGCAAACATCTGGTCATCGGCACACTATTTCATGGGTGCTCGCACGCTGCGAAAAGACCTCGAAGTAGCACATACAAGCGCCCAGCCTTGACTACTCAGCGATGGTGCTGACCCATGGAGCTGGACCTTTTGTAGGTAGCCCAGATGCCCCTTTGTCCACAGCACCAGGGTTCTTCGGAAGCGAATCAGACTCGTTTGAGCTTGAAAGCACTGGCATCTTCGGTGAGATTTACTGGGACATTAACGACCCTTTAAAGCTGACCTTTGGGTTGCGATATGCCGAAGATGAAAAATTTGGAGCTGACAGGCAGGAAGTCCTAGCGTGCCAGTGCTTGTTGACGTGGCCAGCGATACCGCTGCTTTTCTGAGCTCTGATGTGTCTGCCACATCGATGACCACCAAAGACCAGTTCATCAAAAAAAGACGTTCGTACTGGCCTATTACGACGCTTTATCGGCTGCGGTGTTACAAACTATACTTGGGAGCAGTGCTTTGAAGATTACCGGTACCGTCATTTTCAGGGCTTGATGATTACCGTGCTCGCCGCGGTAAGTTTATCCCATACCGAGCGGGGCGATGCGATGTTCATGGCTACGTCACCACGTGCCTGTGAGGCGATCCGGGATCTTGATAGCTTCGCGCTGCTTTAGCCTACCTGGTATTGTGTTGGTGGCTTTGCTGGTGTTACCTCAGCTGCCTACCCAGGATACCGGCGCGCTCAACAATTCAGGTGCATTCTTTTCCCAGTATCGAGTTGCGGCAGTGTGCATTTTGGTGGATATAGCATGTGCCTTATCAGCATCGCCTGCCTCAATCGCTTGCAGGATGCGCTCCAGATTACGTGCAGCAGCTTGTCTGTGTTCTTTATCGTACTTAATGCCGGATCCTTGGGACATGCGGTGTAGCGTGTTGACCAGCAGACCAAGCACCAGGTTTTTTGATGCCGCGGCAACCATCTCGTAAAAGTGGCGAGTCTCCCGAGTTGTCTCCTCTGAATCTTTAGTGGCCACGTGCAGGCGTTCCACACACTGGCGCAATGCAGCGATATCCTGATGCGTGGCTTTCTCTGCTGCCTCGGCAACCAGAACGGGGTAGATGGAGCGTCTTGCATCTAGCACAGACTGGAACGTGGCATTGGCGAATTGTAACTGCAGAGAAATGGCGCTGGTTAGGTGGTCGATACTCGGCACGCTGACCACTGGCCCCCCGCCCGGACCGGCTTTGATACGCAACGCGCCTTGCAGTTCAAGAAATCTAAGGGCCTCGCGTATGGTAGCTCTTGCAACACCAAACTTTTGAATCATGATATGTTCAGGGTCCAGCATGGCGCCCGGTCGCAGCCCGCGGACCTGAATGTCATTGACGATGTGCCGAGCTACCCGGGTTGCAGCTCTTTCATTAGTGAATACTGGTTCAGCCATAGAGATCCTAAACTAACTTCATAACCCTGCATCCTAATTTGTAGGATTCGATAAGATCGTTCAGCCGAATATTCTATTGCTTTTGATAGGCGTATTCCACGTCTCATTACGACGTGCCGCGATCGCTGCGCGCTCTGATCAACTGATCGCGCCCCTCCGGTTCTCCGACCCGGACCATACCGTCTCCGAACGGTTCGTCCCGACGGCGCAACGTCTCTTTGAGGCCATTTTCCTTGACGCTGCGACCGTATTCTCGAACGGCTTGAGAGCGATGTGCTCGGGCGTCGTTTTCACCGGCCAAACGTTGAAGCGTTTGAGCGCCCATCAGTTCCATTGCAAGGTTGGTGATGCGTTTGTTGGCAGCCAGCAGGTCAGCGTCGATCAGGCTGAAGCGATCGGCCAGACCTTCCACTTCGTCTGCGAGCACATCTGCCGGTACGGACTTCATCACTAACCCGATTTTTTCTGCATCTTCACCGCTGATACAATCGCCGGACATCTGCAGGCGCTTAGCCCACTGTGGCCCACAGTGATAAACCCACAGATTGTTAGGCAGGGCGCCCATGGCACGTGCAGCAGGAAAACCGATGCGGGCGTCGTCGGCGGCGATCACCATATCGCACGCCATCGCAAGGTCAGTTCCGCCGGCGAGACAGTTACCGTGTACTTGCGCAATGCTCGGCTTGTGCATTTCCCAGAGCGTGCGTATCTGGCGATTATTGCGCTCGATCAGCCAGATGTCGTCGTCGTGGCTGCGGCCGGTACGGTAGCCGGGACGCTTGCTGCCGCCCAATGCGGTCAAGTCGTAACCTGAGCAGAAGGAGGCGCCATCTCCTCTGATAATGACGCAGTGCACGGCCACGTCGTCGTCAGCTTCCCACAGGGCGTGTTCGAGTTCTTCGAGGAGTTGGGCAGTCATTGCATTGTGTTTGTCTGCGCGCGCCAGCGTTATGCGAGCGCGGCCGTCCTCCACTTCGTAACGAATCGTTTCATAGTTCATCTGTTCACTTGATGCCATAGGCCCGTCTCCCTTTCTGTGTGTGTGCCTTGCTTATATCGGCCGCCGTTGATTCAACTCCGCCGTATTGGCAAACAAAATCCTCTCCTGCACGGGGGATGGAATATTTTCAACTTCTTCGAGGATATCTCGCGGTTTTTCCAGACCCTCCATGTGTGGCCAGTCGGAACCCAGGATGACGCGGTCAGCACCCATATACTCAATGATCTCTGAAATATCGTCCTCCCAGAATGGGTTCAACCAGACATGTTCACGGAAGCTTTGCACGGGATCTTCTTTGAAATAGTCCGGGATGCGCTCTTTGGTGTGCTCCAGGAAGCGCAACAACGCGCCCAAAAATTCCGAGCCGTTTTCGACCGAGGCAATGCGCACGTTTGGAAAGCGCTCAAACAGGCGGTCAAACACAAGACTGGCAAGAAAGTCATTGATGTTGCGAGAGCGGTGAAAGTTTGTGACGCTGGGTCTGGGCCCCATACTGAGCACGTCAATGCTCTTGGTGTCGTAGCCATTGCTGTCGTGCCGTGTCTGGCCGATATGGGTGACCACCGTGATACCTGCCTCGTTGACCCGCGACCAGAATGGATCGAAGTCGGTGTGGCCGGGGTTGCGTGGTCCGTTGCGGGTGAATACGGCAGAGGGGCGCATGACTACCGTGCGCGCGTCCCGCTCCAATGCCCATTCGAGTTCTTTGACAGCCCAATCTACGTCAGCCAGGCTGATGTAGGGTGAAGTGAAAATTTTGTCTTTATAAACGAGACCCCAATCCTCTTCGAGCCAGCGGTTGAAGGCGGTAAATGTTGTGCACAGGGCATCAATGTCTTTCTTCAGATACTCTTCGTACAACACGCCTTGGGTGGGAAACAACCATGCACCCTCAAGACCCTGTTCATCGATTCGGGCGATGCGCGCGTCACGGTCCATGTATTCGGGTGGCATCGGTTCAAGAGAGGAACGAACCAATTCCGCAGTCGTTAGACCCCGAGGGTTGCCGTTGAAATACTCGCGCAGAACACCCGGTTTGGAGATGGGGTTAAAACTTGGATTGTTACTTCGATCTATCTTACCGCCGATAGTGTGATACTTACGTCCGTTTTCAAGTTCCACCCACTCCACGCAACGGTGACGCATTTTCTTCGGTACGTGACGTGTAAAGGCGTCATGGGCCTCGTAGTAGTGGTTGTCTGCGTCGAATATCTTTCCCGTATAAGTTGTCATCTAGTGCCCTCAAAAATAGTTGTAGATTGCGTACCAGTGTTAAGGTTTAAGTATGATATAAACAGTATCATAGTTATATTGATGCCTACAATATGAGGAATCAATGTGCTGATTAGAAGGGGGAGAGAGAACCATGCGATCTTCAGCAGACGCAGCGGATGAGAGTGTGAAGAAACTGTATACGCCGTTGTACAGAAATTACGCATTGGGATTGTTGTTCCTGGGTTATGTTGTCAACTTCATCGACCGCTCGATCCTTTCCATTCTGTTAGAGCCGATAAAGTTGGAGTTGGAACTGTCGGATAGCCAGTTAGGGCTGCTGGGTGGCCTGGCTTTTGCTATCTTTTATGCCACATTGGGTATTCCGATAGCGTCTCTGGCGGACCGCTGGAGCCGGGTCAAGGTGTTGTCTATCTCCATGATCATCTGGAGTGCAATGACCGCGGTGTGCGGCTTTGCGACCAATTTTGCCAGCCTGCTGTTGGCGCGCATCGGTGTGGGCGTTGGGGAAGCGGGCGCTAGCCCGCCGTCGCATTCGCTAATTTCTGACTACTTCCCGCTGGAGAAACGAGCCACTGCGCTCGCCATCTATTCGTTGGGTATACCCGTAGGGAACATGATCGGTAACTTTGTTGGCGGTTGGGGCGCCGCAGAGTTCGGTTGGCGAGCCACGTTTCTGTTGGTTGGTTTGCCGGGAATCGCGGTTGCGTTCCTTGTTCTCTTCACCCTGCGCGAACCACCGCGAGGCATGTCTGAGAAGGTAGTGACCAAACAGGATACGCCGCCGCCGTCGATGCTCGAAGCGTTTCGCTTTCTGTGGGCGAAACGTTCGTTCAGACACATGGGCATAGCAGCGGGACTACATGCTTTTGTCAGTTACGGCGCAGGTACCTGGAATGCGCCGTTCCTAATTCGCATTCATGAGATACCGATTGTGGAAGTTGGTTCCTGGCTGGCTTTGATTTCTGGGATTGGCAGCATAGGCACCTTTGCTGGTGGGTATCTGGCTGACAAGTTATCGGCTCGTTTTGATGATCGTCGCTGGTACATGTACATTTCGGGAATCTCAACGCTACTGTTAGTGCCGTTTCAACTGGTTGCGTATCTGCACGGCGATCTCCGGGCGGTGCTCGGCTCATTGTTTGTCGTCTCGATCCTGGGCGGTATGTTTCTGGGGCCTTCTTTTGCAATTGCGCATGCATTGGTGACAGTTCGCATGCGCGCGGTGGCTTCAGCGCTGCTGCTTTTTCTGCTCAACATCATCGGCATGGGGCTCGGTCCCTACGTCGTCGGTATTCTCAGCGATTTGTTTGAGCCGGGTTATGCGATCAACTCATTGCGTTATGCGTTAGTGTTTGCCGTCTTCGTGAATTTGTGGTCTTCCATCCACTATTTCCTCGCTTCGCGCACGTTGCGCGCTGAGCTAGACGAGACACAGGCTGTGACGCAAGCAGCAGCTTGAGATTGTCCATAGACGTGTGAGGTGCAGTGTACATGAGCACAGCGACCTGCGAGCACGCTCATATCTAACTGATAATTTGAGTGGAATCGTGCGCGTAATGGCAAGCGGAAACTGATATATATCCTCGCCTGGCAGCCAGTCTTTTCCTGCTTTTCGGTGGTGCGATTCAGCAGGATGGTGGCGGCGACCTCCAGGTGAAATCTTTGGGTGTGTTTGGATCAGTGGATTACGACCTCAATGAAAAGTGGACTTTGTCCGCGGGTGTGCGCTACACAGAGGAAGAAAAAGACGCTGATATCACCTCGCAGTCCCGGAATGTTAATACTCCCTGCCGTGTCGACCTGGGTACCTGTGTCTATGACTTTAGCGACGATGACAAATGGGACAGTTGGTCGCCAAAGGTGGGTGCTACCTATCGATTGAACGACAAGACCATGATGTACGGCCACTGGAGTGTCGGGCATCGATCTGGCGGCTACAACCTGCGCAACACAACGACGTTGAACATCCCCCCCGGACCATTTGACGAGGAGCGCTACGATAGTTTTGAGATCGGCTTCAAAACTGAGTTTGACGGCGGGCGCATCAATGGCGCGGCGTTCTTTACAGAGGGTGAAGATGTGCAGCGAGTGATTTTGGGTCAAGACCCCAACTCTCCTTCTGGAGGCGCCCAAGTAATTCGTAATGCGGGTGATACGGAGGCGTATGGCATCGAACTGGATGGGGTCTTCAGTCTGACGGATAACCTGGTGTTGACGTACAATCTGTTTTAGCCTTGCAGTACAGTTGGTCGGTGGCGGTTAGGTGATCGCCGCCGATCGTGCATAGGAAAATCAATGGCGTGATCAGTTACGTTCCTATTGCACGCGTTTGCTTTTAACCTCATTATAACTAGTATACTGGTTAACAGAAGAGAGGAGAGATTGCATGCCTACAGCTGAAACCACCATGGCGCGCCGTCTGGAGACGCCAGGCGCACAGGGATGGGACCGTACCGCCCACCCTGACGATCCAAACAAGTACTTCATTGTCTCGGCTGACTGTCATGCCAATGAACCCAAAGACTGGGTTAAATCCCGCATCTCGGATGAGTATCGAAAACGTCTACCAAGACTTGAGATGGTCGATGGTCAGGCGTTTATCATCACTGAAGGCAATCGACCCTGGAAAATTAAGACCGATACCACCGATTGGGGCGATGAAGATATTGAACGCAACAAAACCGGGCGGAATGTTGCGGAACGACTGCGAGATCAGGACCGAGACGGCATTGATGTTGAAGTGGTTTTCGGTAACAAAGGCATCCACGCGTTTGGCACCAACGATCCTGGCTTTTCCATGGCCATGTGCCAGGCGTGGAACGACTGGGCGCACGAGGACTTGGGTGAGCACCAGGATCGCATCTTACCTATGGCGCAGATCCCGACCCTGGACGTTGGCGCGGCGGTGAAAGAAGTCGAGCGGGTTGCCAAGCTCGGCTTTAAAGGCCTGACTATTCCGGTGAAGCCGGAATATGGGCCAACCGGAATGGATCAGCGCAACTACAACCAACCCGAATTTGAACCGTTGTGGTCCGCCATCGAAGATGTGGATCTGCCTCTGACCATCCATGTGTCTACCGGCCGTGACCCTCGAGCGGCATCTGGCCCAGGTGGTGCAGTCATCAACTACGCGGTGCACTGTTGTTCAGCCAGCCAGGAGCCGGTGGCAAATCTTTGCGCCTCGGGTGTTTTGGAACGGCATCCCAAGCTTAGAGTGGCGACTATCGAGGCCGGTATCGGCTGGGTTTCCTGGTTACTGGAAGTCATGGACGAAGGCTTTTATAAACACCGCATGTGGGTCTCCCCTGATCTCAAAGAACCCCCCAGCTACTACTACCGAAGACAGATGTTTGCGTCCTTCGGTGAGGATCAATCCGGCCTGGATCTGGCAGTGAAACATGATTTGATCGATAATTTCATGTGGGCTAACGACTACCCACACCATGAAGGCACCTGGCCACACTCTGCAGCGGCCATCGAACGCACCATGGCTGATCTCACTGATGAGCAACGGGCCAAAGTGTTAGGGCTTAACGCGGCAAGATTCTGGAACATCGATGTTCCAGCCAAATACCAAACCGCAGGTAACAGCTGATGTCGCTTAAAGGCGCCGCTGCGGTGGTGGGTATTGCTGAACTCGCACCACAACGCTACACAGGTGATGCTACCATCCTGGACCTGCTGAGCCAGGTAGGCGCAGAAGCCATCGCCGATGCGGGCTTTCAACATGCAGACATAGACGGGCTGGTGGTTCACCCCATCGGCGGGTTGCCGGGTTTTGTGCCTGCCACTGTGGCTGAGTACTTAGGCATAAAACCCACCTTTGCGGAACTGGTGGACCTGGGTGGCGCAACGGGTGCTGGCATGGTCTGGCGTGCCGCTGCTGCGATTCAAGCGGGCATGTGTACAACCTGTTTGTGTTTAACCGGTACTCGCCGCCGAGGTGGCTCACAGAATCGGCAGCAACGAACCGCGGAACGACCGCCGGCTCGGTCTATGGCGCCCAGCCGTGATCGTTCACCCGCTGCAGAATTTGATTCTCCCTATGGCATGGTGGGCGCCAACGTGGGTTATGCCATGATTGCCACGCGCTATACCCACGAATTTGGTCTGAAAGATACACAACGCGCCAAAGTTGCCGTCGATCAACGCAAGAATGCCAATGCCAACCCAAAAGCATTTTTCCATGATCAGGAACTGAGCATCGAGGATGTCCTGTCTTCCGAGGTCATTTGCCAACCGTTGCACATGCTGGAAATTGTCATGCCGGCGGCCGGTGCAGCCGCGCTTATAGTCACCGCGGCTGATCGCGTGCCAGATGCAAAACAAAACCCTGCCTGGATTCTCGGCGCTGGTGAATCGGTGACCCATTCATCTTTTGCGCAGGCCCCGAACCTGGACGCCACTGGCATCGGCATCGCCTCACGCGCTGCATTCAATATGGCGGGTATCAAACCCAGCGATGTGGGTCTGGCTTCTTTATATGATTGTTACACCATCATGGTGCTCTTAACTTTAGAGGAAGCGGGCTTTGTGCCTCGCGGTGAAGCCGGGGCGTTTGTAGAATCCCATGATCTAACATGGGCAGGGGACTTTCCTCTCAATACGCATGGCGGTCAATTGAGCTTTGGTCAAGCCGGGATGGCCGGTGGCATGAGTCATGTCACTGAAGCTGCTCGTCAGATACAGGGCAGGTGTGGTAAACGGCAGGTACCTGGATTAGAACTGGCGTACGCGCACGGCAATGGCGGTATCATCGCAGAACAAGCCGGCCTGGTTTTTGGGGTCAACCGATGAGTGCTCGTTTGATCCCACCCGTATCACCTACCACGCAACCTTATTGGGAGGGTGCTGCACGTGGGCAGTTGATGCTGCAGCAATGTAGCGCCTGCGGCCAGCGACCCTTCCCACCACATACCCATTGTGAGCAATGTGGCTCAGCTGACTTAGCCTGGCAGGCCGCCAGCGGAAAAGGCACGATTTATACGTACACCATTTCCTATCGAGCGCCACATCCTGTCTTTCGCGATCAATGCCCTATGGTTATCGCGGTGGTGGAACTTGACGAAGGCCCGCGTCTGATCACCAACATCATCGAGTGTGATCCCGAACAGGTTGCTGTCGGTATGGCTGTGGAAGCAGCTTTTGAAAAGATTGATGACAGTGATGTTGTGCTGCCCGTATTCAGGCCGGTCTGAGTTGTGACCTATCCATTGGACGGTATACGCGTGTTGGACTTCTCACGTGTTGTTGCCGGTCCCTTTGCCAGTCGTTTGCTGTCTGATCTGGGTGCCGATGTTGTAAAAGTTGAGCCACCTGACGGCGATAGCACGCGACTGCATGGCAAAGACATCGGCGGTATTTCTGGTTTTTTCAATCACCAGAATGCAGGCAAGCGCAATATCTGTTTGGATCTTCGTGCCGAAGGTGCCATCAGGTTGGTGAAATCTATGGCCAGCAAGGCAGATATTGTCATAGAGAATTACCGACCGGGGGTTATGCAACGACTGGGCATAGACTACCCGGCATTGCAGGCCGTCAATCCACGCTTGTTAATGCTGTCGATATCCGGTTATGGCCAGGAAGGACCGGAAGCACATCGACCATCCTATGCGCCTATAGTCCATGCGGAAGCAGGGTTAATGCATCGCCTGGCGGCGCGCAACAGCACGCCACCCGGTGATTTGCCATTATCTGTGGCCGACACTAACGCATCTCTACACGGGGTGATTGCCTTGTTGGCGGCACTTCATCTGCGTGACCAGACGGGCGTAGGCCAGTACATAGATATGTCTATGATGGACGCCACCTTTGTCACCGACGATCGCGCTCACTTTGACCTCGAAGACACACCCGACACGCTACCCATATGCCCGATTTATGATTTGCCGTTCGCGCGGGTCTTTATCGCGACGGATCTAAAGTTGTTATTCCGACGGCTGCATCGTCGTGCCGGGCTTGCGGATCCGACCCCTGAAGGCGCCTCGCTGCAGGAGAAAGTCGCGTTGCGTGAAGCTGCCATAGAACAACGCCTGATGGATTGTGGCTCGCTGACTGCGCTTACCAGGCTCCTGGACACTTTAGACCTCCCTTGGGGCGTGGTTCGCGGTCCGCGCGAGCTGGCAGATCAGCCCACCCTCAAACACCGAGGCATGATCGCCGAGGTGGATGATCGCGCGGGTGGCACTCGACCCATACCCCAATCACCTTATCGCTTTTCAAATGCGGCCAGTGGCGTGCGTGGGCCAACTGCACACCGAGGTGAGCACAACCAAGAGGTGCTTCGGGACTGGCTCGATTTGAACGATAAACAAATGCGTGATTTATTCGACGGGCGAATTCTTATTAACGAAAAAGATTAAGGGGATAACGTGACAGAAGTAAGCGAGCGAGAAGCGGAGCTATTGGAAGCGCAAGCATGGCGCACGGAAACACCAGGACACCAGGATTGGAGTCGCACGGTCCGTCCCGATGACACTAACAAATATTACGTTATTTCCGCAGATTGCCATGCCATCGAGCCAAAAGATTGGATGGCCGGCTACATCAGCGATGATGTGCGCGAACAGTTAAGACAGCGACGCGCACGCCGTGACCAGGAGATGGACCAGGAACGAGCGGAAGGTGTACGTGAACCGAAAGCCGAGGCAGAAAAAAAAGAATCTTCTGTACCCACCCACCTCCTCGACCGCAACAAGATGGCGGGGGAGGATTTAGAGCGCTTATTGTCTGGCCGCTACCCGGATAAACGGGTGACGGACAATGCTCGGGATGGGGTTGATGCAGAGATTATCTTTCCAGGTGCCGCTTTTTTAGCCGCCCAGATAGCCAACGATGATCCGGCTCTGGCCATGCGCTTTTGCGAGGGTTGGAACAACTGGGCACGGGATTGGTACAACGATCATTGGGATGTGCAATTTCCTATGGCGTTTATCACCACCACCGATGTTGCCGCCGCGGTCTCTGAAATAGAACGAGTGGCTGCACTGGGTTTTCGTGGTGTTTGTTTACCTAACAAACCAGTGTACGGACCCCAGCCACCGCGGGAGCGGAACTACAACCTGCCGGAGTTCGACCCAATCTGGGCGGCGCTGCAGGATACAAATATGCCCGCCACATTCCATGTCAGTACCGGGCGCAATCCCACTACCGCGAGGGGGCCGGGTGGTGCGGTCGCGAATTATGTATCGCACTGCTGTACCACCAATATTGAGCCGCTGGTGTTGCTCTGCGCCTCGGGAATTTGTGAACGATTCCCCAAACTGAGATTTGCGCTCGTGGAATCCGGCATTGGCTGGGTATCATGGTCACTGGAAGCCATGGACGAGGCGTATCGCAAACATCACATGTGGGCAAAACCGAAGTTGCCGGAGCTACCGAGCTATTATTTTAAACGCCAGGGTTATGCTACCTTCGGTGAAGATCGATCCGGCCTGGCGGTCGCGGCTGAATTTGGGCTGATTGACAATTTCTGCTGGGCCAGCGATTACCCTCATCCGGAAGGATCCTGGCCGCATTCGCCGGAAGCTATTGAGCGTCAAATGCAACGCCTGACAGATTTAGAGCGGGAAAAAATTCTGGGTGGCAATGCCTCCCGTTTGCTCGGTATAGAGTGCCTGAGCAAGTAATTAATACAGGGAGAATAAGGTAATGAATGTAAAAACAAATTCGGATTTGAGCGCGATTGCACTTGACCAGATAGACGTCAGCCAACCAGGGCTTTATGGGAGCGATACCTGGCAGCCTTACTTTGCGCGGCTGCGCAAAGAAGCGCCGGTTCACTTCCAGCCGGAAAGTTTAACCGGACCATTCTGGTCGGTTTCCAGTCACGAACTCATTAAAGAAGTCGACACCAACCATCAGGTGTTCTCCTCTGAGAAAGGCGGTATCGCGATTGTTGATCCAGTGCCGGTTGAAGGGCAGCTTGAGAATAAAAGCTTCATCAGCATGGACGAACCAAACCATTCCGCACAACGCCGGGTTGTCTCACCTACTGTTGCACCAAAGAATCTGGCTGAATTCGAACCTCTGATTCGAGAACGGGCAGCAGATATTCTTGATAACCTGCCCATAGGAGAGACGTTCAACTGGGTGGATCGAGTGTCTGTTGAGCTCACAGCTCGCATGTTGGCCACCTTGTTTGATTTCCCGTACGAAGATCGTCGTAAGCTGGTGTATTGGTCTGACATCACCACCGCTGTTCCGGAAGTGACCGGTGACGACAGTATCGACATGGATACACGCTACCAGGAGCTGATGGAGTGCGCAGGTGCGTTCTATCAGTTGTGGACGGCAAAACAAGGGCAGCCGCCTTCTTTTGATCTGATTTCCATGCTGCAGAATAATCCTGAAACCGCAAAAATGAATGAAGACCCGGCGCTCTTTTTAGGCAATATTCTGCTTTTAATCGTCGGCGGTAACGACACCACGCGCAACAGTATCAGCGGTGGTCTTGTCGGTTTGAATCAGTATCCCGATGAATACCAGAAACTGCGAGACAACCCAGGGCTGATTCCCAACATGGTGGCAGAAATGGTGCGTTGGCAAACGCCAGTGATACACATGCGCCGAACTGCTTTACAGGACTATGTACTCGGTGGTCAGCAGATCAAGGCGGGCGATAAGGTTGTGATGTGGTATCTGTCAGGTAATCGTGATGAATCCGTGTTTGAAGATGCCGAGCGGTTCATCATTGATCGCCCCAATGCCCGGGCTCATGTGGCATTTGGTTTTGGTGTGCACCGCTGCATGGGTAACCGTCTGGCGGAAATGCAGTTGCGCGTGCTCTGGGAGGAGATAATGAAGCGTTTCCACAAGGTGGAAATTGTTGGGGCGGTAGAGCGTAACCCCAACAACTTTATTCGTGGCATCAAAGACGTGCCCGTTAAGTTACATCCGCTGTAGTCAGGATCCACACAAGCAGCTACATGAACGCATCGCCGACAATTCACACATAGGTTCACAGGGAAGCCTGCATCTATGTAGCTGTGCTCTTCGACGTTTCGCTATTCTATCTGTACACGATCGAAGAGGGTGCTGCCAGCACACACGGGTGACAGTTTTGGAAGCGGGTTCGGCCTAGCTTTCCACCGTGTATTGTCGGAGAAAGGTCTCCAAGGATTCCTTCACGTCAGTACTTTCCTCGATTACTTGGATGATCTTTCGGTGTGCGTCGTCTGCGTCCACTGCGATATGGAAACCATTGATTCGCAGGAAGACATCGACAGCAAAAAATGCGACACGCTTGTTCCCATCCACAAATGGGTGGTTCATTAGTAGGGACTCGAAGAGCGCTGCCGCCATTTCGATGAGGTCCATGTAGTATCCGGTACGAGGTCGAAACAAGGCGCTTTCCAGAAGTCCCAGATCCCGAACACCAGGTGGCCCGCCAAACTCCTGTAAGAGCGTGGCGTGAATTTCCAGCGCCTCCTCAAGTGTGAGGAATGCAACGGCACCAGGTGGAGATTGCCCCTCACTTGGCAAGCAATTCTCCCAACCTTCGGTTTTTATCAATCGACTTTGCCAGCGCCGATCTCACCTCGGGGCGGACTCGTCTACGCTGCACATATTCAGCGATGGCTTCAGTCAAAACACCCGAGATGCTCTGTTGCGATTCTGCAGCCAGCGCTTTGAGGTCCTCCCAAGTGCGTTCCTCGACCTGAGAGCTCACTTTTACGGTGGTCATGGTATTCCTGAATTTTCATGAATCTTCATGATCCTAGCATATTATTAGGTCGATGCCCGTGTTGGGTACTGACAATTAGTAAAGTGGATAACGGGTTCACTTCCATCTACGAATAAGTCTTAATGCATGCTAGTTCTGCAGTCTTCTTAGAAAAAGAAAACCATGTAACACATTGAAAAAAATGAAATATTGCTCTTCTGGCGTCCTAGCAGGGGGGCAAGTACCCTCCTGCGGAGGGTGGTCGCAGCCGACGCTGGGCGCCTTAAATTATACCGTCCCGACCAGACATTCCTTGGTGCTGCCCGTACCCATAGATAACAGCTTGTATCGGAGACATCGTCCCCAGTTCGGAGTAGCGTTTAAACTTACTTAGCCCAAATGAAAATATTCGTTTCTACGCAGCGCTGCGCGCACGCTGCGCCTTATCCAAGTCGTATGTTGCCTGCAGATTCATCCATAATTTGGGGGAAGTGCCCAACGCGTCAGCTAGGTCCAGAGCCGCTTCAGCAGTAACGCCTCTTTTTCCACGAATCAGTTCATTCAATCTCGCGCGTGTCCAGCCGACCTTCACTGCAAACGCGGTCTGAGTCATACCCATCGGCTGAAGAAACTCTTCCAGCAGAATCTCACCGGGATGGAATGGATTTTTAGGTTGTTTGCTCATGCCAAAACTCGATTAATGATAGTCAACGATCTCTACGTCCATAGCCTGTCCGTTCTGCCAACGAAACACGACACGCCATTGTTCGTTGATCCGGATCGAATGAAGTCCTTTTCTATTACCTTTAAGAGCTTCAAGTCGATTGCCCGGAGGCACTCTAAGGTCTTTTATCTCGGCAGCGTCATGTAAATAAAGAAGCTTCCTTCTGGCGACGCGGCGTAGTTCTTGCGGAAACGCCCTGGTTGCTCGACTGTTGTTGTCATGGAAAAGAGCTTCTGCTAGCTGGTTCCCGAACGATTCGATCATGTTTCTAAGTTATCGGAAAGCGACAATTTCGTCAATGCTGCCATAGTGATTGAGGTCATAGGTTAAGAGCATCCATGTTGCAGTTCCTGTTGCAACAATTCTCAACAAACCGGTTGGTGCCAAAGTGGTTGCCGGATAGATCCTGCCGACGCTTGCGTCGGAAGCCGCCACTTGCGAAGTGAGGACGCCCGATCAAATATCTCATTTTATATCAGTAGCTCAGAGGCGAATGGATTCTCCTGACTAGCCCTTTCTATGAAACACTGCTTGCCAGAAACAGGTTTTAGTTTCTATCTACCATATCCTTATCGAGTCGACGCCAGGTCAGCACGAAGAACAAAGAACTGGCAGCGTACAAGGCAGCCATAATGACCATCGCCGACTGTAAGCTCTGGGAGTAGACCTCGCCGCAGACATTCTGCAGATTGTTGCTCAACGCGCTTATAACCGTCGGATGACATTGATTTCGTGACAGCTCCCCAGCTGTCACGCCAAGCTCGGCGACTCCGCTGACAAAGAAGATGTCCGAGATGGCACCAATAAAAAGAGGACCAAATCCGTAGCCGATCAGGTTGGCGACAAACAGGAGCACTGCGGTCGCCATAGCGCGAACACGCATGCTCACAACACCCTGGCCAATCGTGTACTGGGCGGCCAGATAGCCGTACTTCACGAAGCCGCCAACAATCAGGCCGAAAGCAGCAAACACCAGACTCTGTGTCGTGAAGGCAAAGATATAAAATGGGATCGACAAGGCTAATCCAATGGCGGGCACCCAGGCGATTGCACCCGGATGCTTCTGGTAAATTTTTGTTGCCAGCCAGCCACATGCGAAAGTCCCGATGGCGGATGACAAAGATACCGGCGTGTTGATCCAGATGGCGGCTTGGCCCGTGGTGATTTCGTGGGCTCGGACCAGAAAGATTGACTGGAACGAGGAGATTCCGTAACCACAGAAAGCCGCAACTGTTGCGCCAGCCGTCATATACCAGAAAGCGGGTTTGGTCGTCAGCTCACGGATCGCCTCCTTAAGCGAAACCTGTTCTTTGGATTGCGTGCCTGCCGGATCTGTATACCCGCGCGGCGGCTCTTTGACCGTCAATTTGAAAACAATGGCAATCAGCAGGCCTGGCAAACCGACCACAAAAAAAGCTGTTCGCCAGTCGAACGCATCGGTTACCCAGCCACCAATCAGGTTCGCGAACATCGTGCCCAGTGTGACGCCCATGGCATAGACGCCCAGCGCTTGAGACCTGTCCCGGGGTGCGTAATAGTCGGCGATTAAAGAGTTGGCCGGGGGTGTACAGCCTGCCTCACCAATACCCACGCCAACGCGACACATCAGCAATATCCAGAACGCGCCGATGGTGAGCGATCCAATGGTGACGTCGGTGGCGAGCCCACAGAGCGCCGTCATTAAGGACCACAAGGCAACACACACAGTCATAATCCAAACGCGGTTAGCTCTATCTGCAAACCGGGCCAGAGGAATACCCACAATCGTATAGAGAAGCGCAAAACCGAAACCGGTAAGCAGCCCGAACTGGGTGTCGGAAATGCCGAGCTCCGGCACAAGATCCGGACCGACGACCGCGAGCAGGCCGCGGTCAACAAAATTCATAATGTAGATGAGCGTCAGGGCTGAGAGCACATAAGTTCGGTAACGTTTGGTACCGAAACCGGTGACTTTACTCTGTGCTTCACCTTCTTCGGATGCGGTCGCGGCTGTCATGTATGAGTTTTCCCAAGCGGTATTAACAATTATTTTTGGCACTGACTGTAGTTGTTTCAGTACGCTTTGTTGGTCGGCACAAACAATATCAGTGTGAAGCCAGGCGTGCATGAATCTTTCTTATTGAATCAGCTTTTTATCTCTTGCAGGATCATTCAGTATGATCAAGATCGATAGCGGCAGGTGGGAATACCGAATAGTGACAGCAAAGACAATATGTTCACTGGTGTAAATACAATGCCTGGTGCTAGTGTGTGCAAGCGGAACAAAAGCGCAGAGGCCGATCAGCCCGCCACTGACATGACGCCGGCTCCGATGCTCGGCATTGCTTTCCAATCCTTACCTGTCCCGATCAGGTGCCGATCGCGGGACCGAGGCTGCAGGCTGTGCAAATGCAACATCCTGTCGATGATTTTCACTCTTCGGGACGCATACACCCCAACGATGCAGATAGATTTACTTATCGTTATCGTTGGGGCGTCTAACCCTAAACCCGTTCGATGATCATAGCTGGCGCCATACCGCCACCCGCGCACATGGTAATCAGGGCAAACTGACCGTCGCAGCGTTCGAGTTCATCAAGCGCCGTGCCGATGAGCATGGCACCGGTTGCGCCAATGGGGTGTCCCAAAGCCATCGCCGCACCGTTAATGTTGACCTTTTCACGGTCAAGGTTTAAGTCGCGTTGAAACTTTTCGGAAACCACTGCGAACGCTTCGTTGATCTCCCAGACGTCGATGTCATTGATGGTGAGGCCAGCTTTCTGTAACACCTTGTGCGCCGCTGGCACTGGAGCGTTTAACATCAAAGTTGGGCAATCTCCCATGTTTGCACAGGCAACGACGCGAGCTCGTGCCTTTAAACCGTTTGCCTTGGCATAGTCGGGGCTGGCCCAGAGAATGGCGGCTGATCCATCAACAACACCAGATGAGTTGCCGGCGTGATGCACGTGCTCGATAGCGAGATCTGGGTATTTCTGGTTGATCAGCTCGCGAAATGATTTTGCACCCTCGGTGTGCCGATAATCAGCAATTTGTGGAAAGCTGGGTGCCAAAGCTGACAGTGATTCAACAGTGGTGCCCGGGCGAGGGAACTCTTCACGATCCAGCGCGATGGTGCCGTCCAGGTTATGAACGGGTACCAGGCTGCGGTCAAATCGACCTTCTTCTATCGCTCGCTGGGCTCGGCTTTGCGACAAAGCCGCCAGTTCATCCAGCGTCTCGCGCGAGATGCCTTCCAACGTCGCAATGGCATCTGCACAGACACCCTGGTGCGATTGCGGATGAATTTCCTGCAGGTGGGCGTTGTTGGCACCCATGGGCAATACGCCTTTCTTGGGGAGAGACATCATCTCCGTACCGCCGGAAACTACCAGATCCTCCATGCCTGACAAGACTGCCTGAGCGGCGAGATTGGCGCTGGTAATGCCTGAGCCGCAGAACCGGTCCAGGGTGACGCCACTGGCTCGAATGTCGTATCCAGCGTCGAGAGCCGACATGCGCCCCAGATCACCGCCTTGTTCACAAACCTGTGCGCTGGTGCCCCAGATAACATCGTCAACATCCGCGGTGTTAATACCTGTTCGATCCGCTAGCGCGCGGAGGACGGTGGACCCTAAATGCTGTGGGTGCAGATGCGAAAGGGCACCTTTACCCGCCTTGCCAATGCCGCGTGGGGTACGACAGGTATCAATGATCAGTGCTTCAGCCATGTTGATTCTCCAGATATTGTGAGATTGCGATATTTTTATGGATTATAACGTTGTTTGACTTCAGTGTCGGGCCAGAATGATATCTGGCTGCCAAGCGGTCACAGCAACGCGTTGTCGACAGCAGTAACAAATCAAGCGGGCGAAAGGTATGCTTATCCTCTGATATTTTAATCTCATAGGAAGCACTGCCTTGACCACAGGAAAGCAACTGTTCAGCACCCTCGCAGACGGCAAACTCACCGTCGAAATAGTAGAAACCCAGTTCCCCGATCCCACCGGCAACCAGGTTCTGGTCCAGATGGAAGCGGCCCCCATCAACCCGTCCGACCTGGCCATCCTCACCAGTAGCGCCGATCTGGAAAACGCTGAGTACTCCGCCGGCAAGTTTGTCGCCAATATGCCCGAGCCCTTCTTCAGCGCGCAAAAGGGTCGACACGGCCAGCAACTGCCCGTCGGCAACGAAGGCGCCGGCATGGTGATTGCCGCTGGTGAACAGGCACAGGGCCTCATCGGGCAGCGTGTGGCCTGCGTGCCTGGCAATGCTTACTCCCAGTACTGTATTGCCGATGCCGGTATGTGCTTGCCATTGGGTGATATCTCCTCGGAGGACGGTGCTTCCGCGTTCGTGAATCCCATGACCGCGCTCGGTTTTGTTGAAACGGCACGTATGGAAAACCAAAAAGCCATCATCCACCTTGCCGCAGCGTCGAACCTCGGCCAGATGCTGGTCAAGATTTGCCTTGAGGACAACTTGCCGCTCGTGAACATCGTGCGGCGCGCCGAACACGTTGACCTGCTTAAAGGCCTCGGCGCCGAGCACGTCGTCAATTCGTCGGCCGACGACTTCATGGATCAGTTACGCGGTGCCATCGACGCTACGGACGCCTACTGCGGCTTTGATCCCATCGGCGGCGGCAGCAATGTTGATGCCTGCTTTAAAGCGATGGAACAGGTCGCCGCGACCAAGATGGCGGAGTTCTCTCGTTACGGTTCCACCCAGGAGAAAAAGATGTACATCTACGGGCGTCTGGATCTGTCACCCACAGTGCTGACCCCGTCGTACGGTTTCGGTTGGACCCTTTCCGGTTGGCTGCTCACGCCGTTCCTGCAGACCGCCGGCATGGACACCATGATGCGTATGCGGCAGCGTGTGCTCGACGGCATGACAACAACCTTTGCCAGTTCTTATAAGAGCAAGGTCAATCTGGAAGAGATGCTCACCCGTGATGCAGTGCTCGATTATCGGCAGATGAAAACCGGCGAGAAGTACCTGGTCACGCCCCACGCTTGAGGGGGGCAGATTGGGCACACCCATGCCCGCATATGGGCAAAGGTGTGTTGCCACTTGTATCTGGAGAGAGAATAGGGGAGATACTCATGGCAAAGCTGATGATTTATCGGTGTCTTCGCTGAATTGGCGTAAGAGTTTGTTTTGTAGCCGCTTCGCCATCGAAGCGGCATCACTAAATAAAGTGAAAACGGTGGGTACCACGAACAGGGTCAGCAGCGTAGAAGAGAGTAATCCACCAATCACGATGATGCCCATTGCAGTTCGAAATTCGGCACCATCCGATGTTGCGATCGCTATTGGAATCATGCCAAAAATTGTGGAAGCTGCTGTCATGAGCACAGGTTTCAACCTGAGTTGGCCTGCCTCTAACATGGCTTCTTGAGCCTGTTGCCCACGTTCAATGGCCTGGTTTGCATAGTCGACCAGCAGAATACCGTTCTTCATAACGAGTCCCATCAAAGCGACCATACCGATTTGAGCGAATAGGGAGAGTTCGGAACCCGTGAGCGCAAGCAAGGTGAAAGCCCCAACAAACGACAGTGGTGCCGTTGACATGATGACTACCGGCTGCGAGAAGCTGTTGAACTGGCCAGCGAGGATCATGTAGAGCGCGACCAATGCAAGGCCAAACGCGAACAAAACGGCCTGCATCGTCTCCCCAACTTGTTCGGATGCACCTTGGTAGGAGGCTTCGTAACCTGCCTCCAGGCCGAGGTCTTCGATGATGACATCCATTTCGTTAATTAACTCGCCGACGGCAAAACCTGCTGGTGCGTTGCCAAGCACGGATATTTTCCGAGATCGATTGAGCCTGTCGATTTGCGCAGGTCCACTGGCAAGGACAACCTCCGCTACGTTTCTGAAATCAACAAGCGTTCCATCGGCGGCACGAATTTGTAGCAATCCGAATTTACTCAGATCATCCCGGTAGGACTCTTCCATCCTGGCGCGAACATCGTAGCGCGATCCAAATTCTTCGAATGTTGTAATATCTGATCCACCAATCGTGGCCCGTACGGTTGAGGCGATATCGCGGATCGAGATGCCAAGATCTGATGCACGGTCGCGATTGATGAGCACCTGGACTTCAGGCTTACCAAGTTCGAAGGTTGATTTGATGTCCACAAACATCCCGGAACGTCGCATCTCGTTCATCATGATCTCTGAATAGCTATTCAGTTTTGCAAGGTCAGGCCCTCTTAAAGCGACTTCGACATCCGCGGTGAAAAAGTTACTGCTGCTCGACCAGGAAATCTCTTTCATGCCAACGAACTTGGCTTCAGGAACTGCCGCAGTGATTTCCTCACGAACCCGGTCCAGAATCACCTGTTGGCCAATATCCCGTTCTGCTTTGGGTGTAATTCCGATGTAGTAGTCGATCACGTTGGCCTTACCCTGTGCGTCTGCGCCGATACTCAAGAACACCAATTCCACGTTTTCCAGTGCACCTATTGCCTGTCCTACGCGCGATCCTATTTTTTTCGTTTCGAGGATCCCCGTGCCCAAGGGCAGCTCAACTACGGATAAAAACTCGCTTCGATCAGTTTTTGATTGGAAAGCAATGGGCACTTGTGTCGCAAAGTGGATCCCCATGTAAATAGAAGCTCCGGCTATCACCAGGACTAGCCAGCGAACACGAAATGAGACTGTTAGCGCTCGTCGATAAAATTGTTCAAGACGTTTGTAGCCGCCATCGAACACACGAAAGAGGAAACCATGCTGTGCATTTTGTTTAAGAAGCTTGGAGCTCAGCATGGGTGTGAGCGTTAACGATACAAAGAGGGATATGGCCACTGCCACCACAATGGTCAAACCATACTGATAGAAAAACCTGCCTATGACACCGCTCATGAACGCTATGGGTAAGAAAACCGCCATCACTGACAGTGTTGCAGCAATAACCGCGGCGGCAACGTTCTTGGTTCCCTGTGAGGCGGCAACCTTGGGCTCGCTGCCTGATTCGACTTCTCGGTGTATTGATTCAAGGACGACGATAGCGTCGTCGACAAGCAAGCCCACGGTTAGAGAAATTGCGACCATGGTAATCATGTTTATTGTGAAATCGAGCATATAAAATGCAAAAAACGTCGCGATGATTGCCGTAGGTATTGCGGTTGCGACAATGAGTGTTGCTCGAATGCTGAGTAAAAAGGCGAGTGTCACGATAACAACAAGCCCGATACCCAGAATAATGTCGAAGGTGACGTCGCGCACAGATGATTCGATGAACCGCGACACGTCGCGTGCAACTATCAGTCTGATATCTGAGGGCGCTTCAGCGCGAATGCTTTCAATTTCAGCTTTGATCGCACGGGCGACTTCAACGGTGTTCGTTCCAGATTGGCGGCGAACTTCTAAGCTCACACCGGGCGCGCCGTCTAACTCTGCGTATGAGCGCTCGTCTTCTAGACCATTTTCTACACGAGCAACATCGCGCACACGAACATAGCCCGGTCCGTTTTGTGCAACGACGATATTCGCGAAATCTTGAACCTGATTGACTTCGCCTTTGGTTTTGATGGTGTATTCGGATAAACCGCCTTTATAGTCCATCCTGCCGCCGGGTATCTCGGCATGTTCTCGACGTATCGAGTTGATGACATCATCAACGGTGATGCCGAAACCTCGAAGTTTCAGGGCATCTAACCAAATGCGTATTTCCCGCTCTCGGCCGCCGACAACTTTGATGCCGCCCACTCCGGACACGCGCTGCAGGCGTTCTTTAACTTCGTCTTCGGCAAATGTTGTTAGCTCTCTAATAGACATGGGGCCGGAGAGCATAATCGTTAGGATTGGTTCGGAGTCAGGGTCGGTTTTGCTAACTTTCGGCAGGTCGATACCTTCTGGTAAATTGGGCGTCGCAAGATTGATTTTGTCTCTTACATCCTGTGCTTTGACGTCAACATCTTCCGACAGTCCAAACTCGACGTAGAGTCGCGAATAGCCTTCGCTGCTGACTGATTGAAGGCTCTCAATGCCTGAGATTGCAACCACCTCTTCTTCGAGCGGGTCAGTCATTTCTGTTTCGACCGTGCCGGGACTTGCTCCGCTCAGGGTCGTTTCGACGGTAATGTACGGAAACTCAACGCTGGGAAAGAGGTCAATGCCAACACGACCCATGGAAATAGCGCCGAGTACAAGCAGGCTCGCGATCATCATGCAGGCTAAAACCGGGCGACGTATACAAAGGTCAGAAAGCCACATTAACCGGGCGCCCTGAATGAGACGCTTGCATTTTCTTGAATCAGATTTAAGTTAGGGCCTTGGATAACCAACTCGCTATCCATGACGCCTGACAGTACCTCCACCTGGTCATTGCCAAGCTCACGTATTTCTACAGAACGGCGCTTTGCGAGGCCGTTTTCCACAACAAAAATGTATCTATCGCTACCAAGACCACGAACCGTGTGCTTCGGTAATGTCTTTGCGCTTCGCGCTGCAGGGTAAAGTTCCACTTCGATGAACAATCCTGGTTTGATGGCGTAGTCTGCGTTCTGGATACCCAGGCGAACGTCAATGCTGCGAGTTTGAACGTCGAGGCGATCGTTAATCAGGTGGACTTCAGAAGAAAAAGACTTATTTAATCCAGGAATGATGACTTTCCCTGGTGTGCCCAACTTGATCGATGCCAAATGTACTTCCGGGACAAAAATCACTGCAACCACAATGTCAATTTTCTGGATCTGTATAACGGGCTCGCTCGTACGCATGAAGGAAGAGACGAAAGCGCCTTCATCGACGTTGCGTTGGGTTATTACACCATCGTAGGGTGCGCGGGTGGTCGCGTCCGCCAACGCCAATTCAGCCTCAGCCAGTTCGGCTAGAGCGATACCACGCTGAGCAGTTGTTGCCTCATAGCGAGTTCTTCGATCATCCAGTTGTTCCTGTGACAATCCACCTTTTTTCACGAGTGCGGAAGCATTTTCAAAATCGACTTGGGCATTACGTTGCTCGGCTGTGGATAGGCGAACGGCTTGTCGCAGACGCTCTACTTTGATTTCAAAGTCGCGCTGCCGCATGCGCAAAAGAGGTTGGCCTTTCTTTACCCGATCACCCACAGCCACCATGATATCTTCGACCATACCGCCAACTAAAGGTACGAGATCCGTTGTTTTGTGGGCAAGCACTGTTCCGGTGACGAAAATCGGTTCCACAATTTCAGACTGTTTTGTACGCAACACCTCCACCTGGAGGGGGGCAACCTTGCTTTCACCTGGAGGAGGTGGCGCAGAATCTGCTGAATTGACATCGCATCCTGATCCGATGGCGCACAGTGATAGAAGAATTGAGTGGGTTAGCTTACGCACTGGAGGGCATGCCGCGGTATAGTACTGATCCTTTTGCAACCAGCATATCCGGATTGTCCTGGTACGCGCGGGCATGAGCGGCCAGGATCCGTTTGCCTGGCTTGGTGATTTCGGCCAGTACATTGATGGGCTTATCTGCCGTCGCGCTGCCCAGAAAGCTTGTCGTCTGGTTGATCAATTGGGGTGGAGCTTGCAGATTGTTGGCCAACATTACGGTGAGCGACATTGCGCAATCCAGTGCGCTGCAGATGATGCCTCCGTGAAATGCTCGCAACATTGGGTTTCCGATGAATCTGTCTTCGGGTTCCAACCTGAATAGCAGGCCATGAGAATCATGGCTTACCAGTTGCAAACCAAGATGCTCCACGTAGGGTTGGTTTTTGGTGAGATCCTCGAATTTCATTCGACGCCTTGTTCTGAAGGCCTATTCTTCATCATCTGTAGCGCTTGATCTAGAAATCCTGATGGTGCACCGGTCAAAATGAAGCGGCCGATGGCGTGTGCAAACGGGCTCGAGACGCCTGGTTCATTTGCGGTTGCAACCAGATAAGCGATGTCGTCTGTAATGTGTTCGCATACCGCGCGTACCTCTATTGTCGAGTGGGCCTTAGGACAACGTATTTCATCGTATCGAAGCTCCAGAGTGGCGAGTGAAGAGGCTTCTGACATGTGCATCATTACTGCAAGACCCATTGCACTGTCGAGTGCCGTCATGACGGCGCCCGCGTGGATTGAAGGATTGGCTTTGCTGCGTGTCAGTTTTTCAGCAAATGGAATCTGCATACATACCGCCTGGTTCGCCTCTACAAGCTCAATACCAATATCTGCATGTGCGCCAGCTCTTTTGGTAAAGTGTTCCTGAAACTCAGGACTTGAAAATATCTGTTGAAGTGAAGGGGAGGACTTGTTTTGCATAGCGCGCTTTGTTGGATTGTAATTTGTAACTATAGTTAATATTACCAAATATATAGAAATTACTATTACTATAATATAGGTTATTAAATATGCCGGCTCAACCCAAATCCTCACCAAGTGTGAGAGAACGATCTCTCACTGTCCTGATCCATGAAGTTGGCTTGTTGGCGGTCAAACTTTTTAATCGGCAAATTAAAGACGTCGGATTGACCAGCTCCCAATGGCAAGTGCTCTATTTGCTTTATGAGCACGATGGCCAAACTCAGACAGAACTCGCTGATCACCTGACGATGGCAAAGCCGCCTCTTGGAAAAATTGTTGATCGTTTGGAAGAGGATGGCTGGGTTATACGAAGAGACGATCCACAAGATCGGCGCACGAAACGTGTTTTTTTGACCCAGAAAGTAACGCCCCTGATCACGCCGTTAGAGAAAATTGTTGATGGAATAGGGGATGCGACGACACGAGGATTGACAAAAGCAGAGCGTCGCGCCTTCGTCGGGTTTCTAGAGATCGCCCTTAAAAACCTCACGGAAGAAGACCAGAAAGATGTCTGAAGAAAAACCGCGTGCCGTCCTTTTTTCTGGCTTTAATAACATTGCTATCGCCGCCGATGTCTACGGCGCGCCTGCTGCGTCTCCGGTTATCTTGGCTCATGGCGGAGGACAGACGCGTCATGCTTGGCGAGGATCTGGAAAGAAACTGGCGGAGGCAGGCTTTCAAAGCATTTGCGTTGATTTGCGTGGTCATGGTGAAAGCAGTTGGTGCCCAGAGGGCGACTACCGGATTGAAGCGTTTGCTGAAGACTTTGTGAGCATATGTGGTGAATTGCCCACGCCACCTATTCTTGTTGGTGCATCACTTGGCGGCATAGCGGCAATGGTTGCGGCTGGTGAGCTGAGGGCCGAATTGTTCCGCGCAATCGTCTTTGTTGATGTGACGCCACATATGGAAACAACGGGGGTTGAAAAGATCATCGGCTTCATGAACGAACATGTTGAAGAAGGGTTCGGGTCTCTGGATGAAGCTGCTGATGCCATCGCGGCTTATTTGCCGCATCGCGCTAAGCCGAAGAACCTTGATGGCCTTGCTAAGAATCTGAAGTTGGGCGACGACAAGCGATATCGTTGGCATTGGGATCCGAGATTTGTAACCGGCGTGAACCGACCGTCGGCCAGCCGAGACCCCGAAAGGCTCAGTAACGCTGTATCGAATATCAAAGTCCCGGTCATGCTAGTTAAAGGGCAGATGAGTGAGCTGGTAAGCGAAGCGTCTGTAGAACGGTTTCTCGAGCTCAAGCCAGATGCAAAATTTGTTGATGTGGCAAACGCACACCACATGGTCGCGGGCGATCATAACGATGCTTTTACTGATGCCATCGTTAAATTTGCGCTCGAAATTTAAAGCACCAGTAATGCGCAAAAAAAGGGGTTGTTGCGATGGAGATAGCAACAGGCATGGTGCTCACAGCACCTCGAAGCTTTGAGAAGCAGCAGTTCGCAATACCTGAGGCTGCGTCCAATGAAGGTGTGCTAAGAGTCGAGGCTTGTGGGTTGTGTGGTACTGACCACGAACAGTACAGTGGCGACATGCGAAGTCGTCATGCGTTCATTCCCGGCCATGAGGTTATCGGCGTTATCGACCAGATTGGGACAGAAGCTGCAACCCGCTGGGGGGTAGAGGTCGGGCAGCGAGTAGCGGTAGAAGTGTTTAAGTCGTGTGGTGAGTGCCAGCCGTGTACAACTGGAACTTATCGCCGTTGCGATCGCAACGGTGTAGACACCATGGTGGGTTTTACTGATGTAAACATTCCACCTGGCCTCAATGGAGGGTACGCCACCCACCTGTTCCTTGGGCCAGACTCAATGTTACTGCCGGTGCCCAAAGGTATGGACCCGGTGTTGGCCACCTTGTTTAACCCATTGGGCGCTGGTATCCGCTGGGGTGTTGAACTGCCGGATACGGGCCCGGGTGATGTCGTTGTCATTCTTGGCCCCGGGGTGCGCGGGCTGTGCGCTGCTGCAGCGGCTAAAGAGGCAGGCGCAAAGTTCATCATGATCACCGGTTTCGGTCCTCGTGATGCAGAGCGTCTTGCGATTGCGCCACGGTTTGGCGTTGACCTGGCCGTTGATGTTGCAAATGTTGACCCAGTCCGCGCGCTACAACAAGCCGTTGGCCTCAAAGCTGATGTGATTGTTGACGTCACCGCAAAAGCGCCCGCCGCACTGGGTCAAGCAGTAAGGCTTGCGCGTCCGGGCGGCACCATTGTGTTGGCTGGTGTGCGTGCGTCTACAGAAACGCCGGGGTTTGACCCGGATCACATCGTGTTCAAGGAACTGCGCCTGCTGGGCGCTCTAGGTGTGGATGTTTCAGCTTATAGCAAAGCATTAGAGCTGTTGGAGTCGAATCGTTATCCGTTTGCGGAGCTGCCAAGGCAAGTGGTTGGGTTCGACAAAATTGAACCGTTACTGCAAGTGATGGCAGGAGATCGAGAGGGTGTACCGCCACTGCACGGTGTGTTTTCGCCAAATTCAATTTGATCATTGAGGAGTCACATGACAAAACCAAAATTTGATGTGTTTAACCAGAGCTGGGCAGACAAAATTGTTGGCCGAGTCGGCCAGAAAGGTATCGATGCCTATTTAGGTCTCAAGGTTACCGAAGTCGAGGCAGGCCAACTCGTGTGTGAAATGCCAGTCACCGATGAATTGATCACTGGTATGGGCAATATGCATGGCGGCTGCCTGTCAGCGCTTTGCGATCATGTCCTGGGTACAGTGATGTATCCCGTCATGCCGGAAGGGTACTGGGCGGCAACCACTGAATTTAAGATTAACCTCACCGCGCCCGTGACCGGAGGTGTCTGTGTCGCCACCGCCGACATTGTCTCTATGAGTCGGCGTTTGGCCGTGGTCCGAATCAGTATTGAGAACGAAGGTCGATTAGTGGCAGTGGCCCAAGGCACCTGCACCATCGTCGCGCCGAAAAAATAACATGTGAGTTGACAGGAAAGCCTATGAAATTTGATCTAATGGTAGGTGCAATGAGCTGGGGGCAAAGTGCATCGCTTGCGAGCAGTCTGCAGGCTGAGGGCTTCAGCGGGATGCTGTTTACGGAAACCGGACAAACACCCTGGATGTCGATCGCCGCAGCGGCTACAGCTGCACCACAGCTCGACTTCAGTACGGGCATTGCGGTTGCTTTTCCGCGCAGCCCCATGATCTCGGCTCAAATAGCCTGGGAACTTGCAGCGAATACTCAGGGGCGTTTTCGTCTGGGGTTAGGTAGCCAGGTAAAAGGACATGTGGTCCGGCGTTACAGCGCTGTATTCGACAAGCCGGCGCCACAAATGCGTGATTATGTGAGTGCGTTCAAGGCCTGTATCCGTGCGTTCAGTGGGGAAGAGAGCCTCCAACACGAAGGCCCATACTACAACCTCAGTTATCTGCCCAAAGCCTGGGCACCGGCGCGCCACAATTATGAAACAGTAAAGATCGATATTTCTGCGGTTGGTCCCATCATGTGCAAAATGGCTGGCGAACTCTGCGATGGTATTCATGTACATCCCATGCACTCAATGCATTACATTGAAAACCGATTGCAACCAGCAGTTGCCGCTGGTGCTGCTAAGGCTGGGCGTTCCGTTGATGATATTGATCTGTTTGTGCCGGTGTTTGCGGTAGCCGGAGATACTGCGGACGAACGCTCTGACATGTTGCGCCGAGCAAGAACGCAAATCGCCTTCTATGGTTCAACGCCAAATTATGCCTTTCAGTTCGACGATATAGGCTTCGAAGGCCTAACGGCCAAGCTTGGTGCGCTGATGAAGGCGGGTGACATGAAAGCCATGGCTGACCTGGTGTCCGACGATTTACTCGACCACTTTGCGGTGGTTGCAAAGTGGGACGATATGGCAGATGCACTTGCTGCGCGCTACGGGTCTGTGGCTAGCCGCATCGTCACCTATCTGACCGCTGAAGACATTGCCAAACATCCGGAGCATCTGCCCAGATGGGGGGAGATTGCGCGAGCACTTGCATCTTAACTAACAATATTTTTCAGAGTGCGGTCAAAATGAGGCTTGAGCACCTGCAATAAAGGGTTAAATGAAAGCTGGTGATAAGATGGCGCTATGGCAGGTTTCGGTTATCTCAACAGCTCGGTTGTAGATCGGCCAAGCGAATTCCTGATTGTTCGCACCCAAGTCCCTAGTCAGATTTCATGCGAGGCTTAACCGAATACCAAACGCTCTGCGCGCTCGTTGGTCGGGGGCGAGATTTGCTTTTCCGTACCACGAGTACTTTGAAGGTCAACTTTCTAATCTCTCGCAGTTCCGTAGGCTCGCCTAGACTGTTCAAAAATAGTGTGACTGCTGATGCTAACTGTTGGTCAAGTACCATCCTGCAGAGGGTGGTCGCGACCGTCTGACGGCCAGTCAAATCCTACGCCGTCTGCGGCGGAAGCCGTCGCCCGACCAAATTCCAATGGGTCCAACCCGGACACATGGGCAACAGTTTATACCGTAGACATAGGTGACACCTTCAACCCAAAAGGATATCCGCCTATGCAACACTTCGCCTAGATTGTTGTCTAACTTTCACATCAACCGATTTGCCTAATCGGCTATGCATTTGCACCATCTTGTCGATGCTTACTCCTGTGAGCTTTTGGGCTGACTACAAACTGGTAGCGCGGGCTCGCTGTTTTTCTCCCACAATTGATGCGTACTTTACTTTCGCGACTGGGTCAGGGCGGTGTCGCTGTGCTGCCATGCTTGTTCATAGCGCTTGAGTACTTCATCTGACTCTGCAGATTTACCTTGGTCAGCCAAAGACTGGTAGAGCCCGTATAGAGACCAGCCATTTTCCGCATTCCATCGCAGGTCTCTGCGGTAAATCTTTTCAGCGCGATCTGGTTGACCTGCCTTAAGTAATGCGGCACCCAGATAATGTCGCATCGGTTGGGCCCACGCGGGTGGTTCTGTGTAGTTGCCTTTATCTTCCAGGGCAACGGCAGCTGTGTAGCTTGCAATCGCTTCAGTCAGGTTGCCTTGCGCCTCATGAATCTCGCCCTCCAGGCCATGACCGGCCAGCGTAAGAATGCCTGACACAGAAGTTACCGTAACCCGCGTTTTGTCCACTTCAGGCTCATCAACGATCGCTCTTAAGATCTCGAGTTGCCGAGTGGCACCTTCAATGTCGCCTGTGTTGGCGTAGGCGCTCCCAAGTGCATAGGCCCACATGCCACGCAGGTAAGGGGTATCGGTGTGAGAGGGCGTTTGTCCCAGTAACAGATCCCATCGACCAAAAATTTTGTTCAAATGCCAGGGTGAGGCCATATTTTTTTCGTAGCCACGCATTGAATGTTGATGGCCGCTGGAGTTCGCCTTCAGTCTGTTGGCTGAATCGATCGCTACTTCGTAGTTACCCTGGATGGTGGCCGCGTAGCGGATAAAGTCGAGTGCGTGGCCGGAATGGATTTTGTGAGACAGTGGATAGGTGCCGAGATTCGGTAATGGCAGGTCCCCCCAGTACCTGGCAAATTCTTTATCTTTCTGTTGTGATCGAACGTTGCTGTCGATGGCTTTGTCGTATTGACCCACGCGTACATAGATATGAGAAGGCATGTGTACAATATGCCCGGCTATGGGCACGGTTGCTTCAAGTGCGTCAGCAGAAACCAGGGCTCGTTCTGGGGCCAGGGACGATTCAATCAGGTGTATATGCAGATGCAGCACACCGGGGTTGCTTAGATCTGATGCCATTATGTGCTCCAGCGCGAGCGCTACTGGCAATGTTTCATCAAGCGGTTCACCTTCAATATCCCAGTAGTTCCAGCGGGCAATGGACATGTACGACGCGGCATAGAGCGCGGCGATGTCTGAATCGTCAGGAAACTCACGATTCAGTTCGCGCATAGCCGCAAGGTAAGCTCTGTCACGCGCATCGTCATCAGCGATGCTCGCTTTGTCATATAAAACGTAGAGCGCATTGATCAGGGAGGCTTCCAATGGGGTAGCTCGATCGATTAGTGCTTTGGCCTTTGTGATCGCTTTAAGACCCTCGCCTTTTGGATCGTCCGGCATTCCAGCGTAGCGGCTGTTGGGGTTGGGCCCCATGGCATGGGCCATGCCCCAGTAAGGCATTGGATGAGTAGGGTCGGTCAGCGCTGCTTGCTGGTAGGAGGCGATAGCCTCTGGAAAGAAAAATCCCCAGGCGAATCTCAGCCCCTGGTCAAAATAGCGCTGGGTGTCATCAGAGTCCGTTGATATCGTCCGACTATAGCTGCCGCCACCAGGCACAATGATGGCCAACCGTTCGTCTTGAGCTGCATTGCTGGATTCACTTTCTGTAACAGGCGGTTTAACTGCTTGTTGTGCACAGCCTTGTATCAGTAGCAGCGAACAGATCGTAGCTATGAGCCAGTTTGCATGGTTTTTTGCGTTCATTTAGATTTCCGTTTCTGTGAGAAAGGCAATAATCTGTGCCTTCTGCAGGACCACCGCTTCACCGGTTGGTACCAGAAGCCGACTACGCCAGTTCGAAATACAGTAATGTCTGCTGATCTGGCGTATGTACAAAACAGGGTTTCACTTTCACGCCGACTTTCAAGTCTGATTCTGCTGCATTCGCGATCACGGTGTTCATGCGAACGCCTTCCTTAAGCCGTACCACCGCAATGTACTGTGGCTCCATACCGGCGAAAGGTGGGGCTGTTGGGCGTCTGGCGATGGTGAAACTGTAAATCTCTGCTTCACCGCTGACCTGCTGCCATTGCAGGTTCGGACTCAAACAGTGGCTGCAATGGGTCCGGGGGTAGAAAACCCATCCTTTGCAATCACTGCACTGCTGCAGCATGAGTTTCTCTTCAGCCAGCCCATGCCAGAAAGGTTCAGTGGTGGGTGTGGGGTGTGGCATCGGTGGCAGCACCGGCAGAGGTGTATTACTCATGTTAACCGCCCTCCAGGATGATGGCTGATTGTTCGCTCATGATGCCCCCGGTGCCTGTCACCAGGGCAGTATCGCAACGGCTTAATTGTCGATCATCAGCTTTGCCCATGATCTGACGGGCACCTTCTATCACTTGAGACATGCCGCCGGCCAGGCCGGCTTGACCTGCGCCCAGTTGCCCGCCGTGTGTGTTCACGGGAAAGTCGCCGTTGTAGGTCAGATCGTGTTCGTTTACAAATTTCATGCCTTCGCCCTTGGCGCAGAAACCTGAGTCTTCCAGGGTCAAAAGGACAGTGATGGTGTAGCAGTCGTAAGGCTCGACGACGTCGATGTCAGCGGGTTTCTTGCCGGCCATGGCAAAGGCAGATTGAGAGGCCGGGCCCACCGGGGTTCGCGTCATATCTTCCTGGTAGGTCATGGATTTGCTTTCCAGTCGTTCACCACACCCGGTAATAAAGGCGGGTCGATTTTTAGATTTTGCTGCCAGCGCCTTGTTAGTCACGATGACCGCGCCACCGCCAGCGCAGGGCATGACAATCTCCAGGATATGCAGGGGGTCGGCAATGATCGGGCTGGCCAGCACCTCATCAATGGACGCGGGTTTACCAAAAAACGCCGCGTTCGGATTAGCCTGGGCATTGGTGCGCTGGTCTGCAGCTATTTTGGCTAACGCCCGTGCATCGTAGCCGTGCAGAGCTGCGTAGCGCTGAGCAATCATGGCGTAACCTGAATTCTGTGCAACGTTGCCATAAGGCACATCGAACTCAGCTTGTGGCGAGCCCCAGTTGGCGCTGGTGGATCCGTAGAAGCGCAGGTCATCCGCAGCAGGTTGTGGGATTGGGTTCGATGGAATGGGTCTTGCCGGGATGGCGCAGATCACAGCCTGGCAGATACCCATCTCGATCGCAGCTGCCGCACGCCATACCATGCCTACTGGCGTAGCGCCGCCCAGATCCACAATTTCAGCGAAGTTGACCTTCAGGCCCAGATATTCAGCCAGAGTAGCCGGTGCAAACATGTTGGCTTCGCGAATGGCGGTACAACAGATGCCATCCAGGTCGTTCTTGTCTAATCCCGCATCGGCCAGTGCCCGCTGTGTAAGGTCGGCAAACTGTTCTGTAAAGAAGTGGCGCGGACCGGTGTATTTGCGTTCGTTTTTGTAGTCGGCCACCCCGACTATAGCTGCTTCGCCCTTTAGACCCATGGATCAGCTCCCTCCCGGCACCTGTAGATGTTTAGCTAGGGTTCATTATGCACTGCAAAGGTCGCACAAGGTAACGGACCCGCTGCAAAATTTGAGAGGTTTTATAGGGTAAATATGGGGGGGGCAAGTACTCTTCTGTGGAAAGGGGTTGCGGGTTCAAATGGACACTGTAGGGTCGTAAAATCCCAGCGCGTCATACATCTCCAAACCCGCAATGCGTCTGATTTCAGGGGACAATTCAGCAGCTTTGTCTTGTGGAATGTTCAGGTACTGGTTTTCTTCCTGTCTGACCCAGCCCAATGAATAAGTGAGGATCACACCATAGCGCCAGTCGCTGGAGGTGTTTTCTCCGGCCCCGTGTAACAAGCCACCCATCCAGTAGAGAACGGAACCTGCGGGCATTTCTGCACTCACAATCTCACTGGGTTCTGGTGTGCGTTCTGCAGACCATGTGTGGCTACCCGGCACTAATAAAGTGGCACCGTTATCCTTGCGGAAATCTGTAATTGCCCACATGCTTGCAATAATGATGTTCGGCCGTGGCAGCGGAAAAAACGTAAATGAATCTTCTTCGCGGTGCAAAATCTGTTTACGCGCACCTGGTCCTACCTCGAGCGCGGCAGACACGTGAAGTTGGTAGCCATACTCGCTGTTGGGCAACAGGTGAGTATCACAAATCTGTTTGCTCAAAGGGTGCACAATCAGATTGTTAGTAATCGTTGTGGAGCGGGTGACCAGTGCTGATATTCGCCGTGTGCGTCCCGGATAAAACTCTTCAGGGTCGTCCTCTTCAATAATGCGTGCGTTGGACATGTGTGGGGCCAGTTCATCGGTAATCGATTGCCGAAGAACTGGGTCCATTAATCCGGTAACCACTGCGCATCCGGCTTCACCCAGAGCGGCGGCAATGTCAGTGCTTGAGGCGTCGGCAGAAAAGCGTGGGATTGACATGAAATTCTCTCTTAATGGTTTGGGTGGGCTAACACCGCGCCATAAGCGCAGCCAGTGGGCCGTTACGCGCTTGTTCGATGTATTCCTGTTGATGTGGCATAAGCAACTGGTTGGCGACATATTGCGTGCCGGCATAGGGGTCACGTACGGACGTTGAGATGCCCGATAACTCTTCGACAACAGCTATGCCACAAAGCGGCACGTAGAAGTCTGAATAACCACCCTCATGGTTCATAACCAGGCGACCGCCGCACAACTCATCTGCCGCTTTGATCATGCGTTGAGTGAATTGTCTGAAGTGACTTGCGAGCAGTAACATGTGGCTCATTGGGTCGAAGTAGCTGGCGTCATAACCGCTGGCAACGACAATCAGCGTGGGCTTGAATGCATACAGAGCGGGCAGCACAACCTGATCCATGGCTTCTAAGTAGGCGCCGCCACCGCTGCCTGCAGGCAGCGGTATATTAATATTAAAGCCTGCACCGTCGCCCTCACCAGTTTCACTCACGGTTCCCATATCTGCCGGGTAAAGCATGTCCTGATGTACGGAGATGGTGAGGACGTCAGCACGATCATAAAACGCCTGCTGAGTGCCATTGCCATGGTGCACATCCCAGTCAACAATCGCGACTCGATCTACAAGTTTTGCATCTAACGCACTCAGAACCCCAAGGCTTATGTTGTTGAAAATACAGAAGCCACGCCCTCGGTCGCGTTCCGCATGATGTCCTGGCGGCCTGACAAGACTATACGCATTATCTACCTCACCTTTTGCAACAGACGCGATTGCAGCGGTAGTGCCCCCAACCCCAAGGCGTGCGATCTCTGCAGTGCCAGGCCCGACAGGGGCATATTCGCCTGCGTCACCCCCGTTTGCATCACTGAGTTGCTGCACCTTAGCCACATAGTCTGGGGTATGAAACCGCTCAAGATCGGCGTTAGTGGCTTCAGCAAAAGTAATCGGTACGAGCTGCGGTGTCACCTCATAGGCATCAAGCAGATTTTTCAGCTTGCGCTTGGTTTCTGCGTTTTCCACATGCGTGCCCGGCTGCAGGTTACCTCGAACAGGGTAGGTGCCTGAGGCCGCGCCATTAAAATGCCACATGTAACGTTCGTGCCAGACAAACCCTGTTCTGCTCATGATTCAGTGCCTTGTTGCCAGTTTGCTGTTGGGATCAGTGGCATGAGCTGGGTAGGTCGAGGGTTGGGTTTCGGTTGAAAAAGCCGACCGGAATCAGGTGAAAGCCACAATACTCCACCGGCATAACAGGCCAATCTTCCGGCCGAGGCACGTGGGTGATCGCGACCGTATGCCACATCACCAGATCGCAATGACTGATATCCCGGTTCGCTTCAGTTAGTTCTGGCAGGCCTTGCTGACCTTCGTGCATCACGGTGTATGGTCCAGCCGCGTGTAGTTCACCATCGACATATGGGGTTGCCCATAAGTGATGTTTGCCGAATCCTGCTCGTTTTGAAACTTGTGAATCCGGGTGGGCAAACAGAGGTGGGGACGCCTGGGGTAGTAATTTGTAGGCGACCGGCTGCCCCAGAGCGTTTGATGACTCTGGATTGGTCACTTTCCAGTAGCGTGATATCTCCGGGGCGATATTCCGCTTTGCCTCTTGCTCGTTCGTGAGGTGTCGTGACACAGAGCGAAACTGGGTGCCTGCGGGGTTTTTATCATCTATCGGCATGACTTCAATCTGGTTTTCAAACAGAGAATTGCTGCCGCCATCAAGTTCCCAGTCCAGTCTGAAGCAGAATACATGTTGATGTACCGGTGATGAAAGTTCTGTAGAGATTTGCGGTGATTGCCCTGGGTTCAGCTGGCCATCTTCAATCACGCTGACGCCAACGATACCGGTGAGTTTGATTTCCATCTGAATGGTGCCATCAAGATACAGGTACCAGTAGAAACCGTAATCGTAATTGCCAATGGTAAAAATAGACGAGATCACCAGGCGGCGGGAGCGGCGGACTTCACTTGTCTGGGAGCTGCTGTCGTAATGTTTCCACTGAATGCCATAATCTTCTTCGTGCATGCAGATTGCGTTCTCGACTTTCTTCACCTCGCCTTCGTGGGTGACTTGATCGATATCAAAATAGTGTATCTCGCCCAGGCAATCGCACCCCAGCTTAAGCGAGTTGATGAGCTGCCCCATATTGTATTCACTGGCATCAAGCACATGTTTCCAGCTATGCATGGGGTCGTTGTCACCGTAAGGCACCACCATTTCTGATAAACCAGCGCGGTAGAGGAGAGGGCGATCCTGTAGTGAAAGCTGATGTAACACGAGGCCGTTCACCGGGTGTATGCCAACGCGGAATTCGTATCCCTGCCAGCGTACCTGGTAACCTTCGACTTCAAAGCTGGGTCCGTCGGGCTGCGTGATGGCCAGTTCTTTTAAATCACCGCGCACTTCATTCTGGCTGGCAGCATCAAATCGCCCGCTGGCTGTTGGCATCGGAACAACACCATTATCTTCCACGGCCACAACCTTACCTGCACTGATGTCGACGTGTGCTATCAGCCCGTGAATAGGCCGCGCATAACCGTTGTCGGTTTTATCTTCGCGCACAAAGGCGATACAGCGAACTGCGCGGTGCCCGTCAGGAATGGCTTTGTGAGCAAATCCCCCTGCAGGCCACGGATCTATCTGTATCAGTTCCAGGTCCTCTTCGCTTGCCGTGGGGATGCCTCGTTTTGCCACCGCTGCCAGCCAGTCCGGGTTCTGCTTGGTGAGCAGCACCGCCATGCCCAGATCAGCAAAACCATATGGCGCCTGGGCGTTGCCGGGCAGTCGTGAGATGGCCGCGGCACTTTTCTCTAAATCTATGTCGGCAACAAATCCACCGTCAGACGTTGTGTCTATACCAAGTAGTCGCACCACTCGTGGGATCGCGGTACCCGATTTCACTTTACTTTTCTGGGGTTCAACAAGACCCGCGGAGGAAAAGAATGCGCGCTTGTCGATATGCGCGTTGCGAAAAATTTGAACGGCCTGACGAATTTCATCAGCGCTGAGTGGATCAAGTGGATGGGTCATCGATGTGCTCTTTCCTTAGCGTGGAGAAAAAGTATCTGTCGCATGACAGGTTGTCAAATAATTCAGTAACATGGGGCACCGTTAGAAACATCTAAGAGAAGGCAGCGTGGGCCAAGCGATAAGAACAACGCACGAGAATCGACGTGCGGAAATTATCTCAACCGCTCGAGCGGTGCTGGCAGAGAAAGGTCCTGCCGCTTTGACCCTGCGACATGTTGCAGACAAAGTGGGCATCAAACTGGCGTCCTTGCAGTATCACATTCCTACTAAGGCGGCATTGATCAAAGCGTTAGCTGAAGATGTGATAGAGCATTATGACCAGCATCTTAATGACTACGTGCAGGATGATGACGCTGATCCCGAAAAACTGTTGGAACAGATCATTCGTTGGATCAGGTCACCTAAAAAGGGTGAGTGGCGTTTAATTCACAGGTTGGAAGTACAGTTCTGGGCAATGGCATTGATTGAACCAGATGTGGCACAAGCGCAACATCAATTCTTCCAGGGTTACCGTCAGTTTTTAGCAGGACTGATCTGCAGGATTAACCCGGCGCTGAGTCGAACAGAAGCGGTTCGCCGCGGAGCGCTCATGTCGGTCATGATTGACGGCTGCGCCCTGATCACGAGTGAGCTACAGCCCCGAGATCCGCAACTGGAACATCTCACAGATGAGTTGGTCACCACGGCACTGGAGCTTGCTAAGCGTCCAGCTTCGCGCTCACCGAACTAAACGCGCACAACCATCAATCCGTCAATTACACCAAACCATTATGGGTGATGCCAGCTTTGATAAATGAATCGACCTGATCTGCCGAGAAGCCGAGGTCCTGGAGTAACTCACGGGTCTGCGAACCAAAAGGCTGGGTTGGCTCGCCTGGTTTAAACCCATCGCCATCCAGACTCAAGGGTGGTGCAACAACAGTCATGTTGCCGGCTGAGGGGTGATTAAATCGATGCAGAAAATGGTTGGCGTTGATCTGTTTGTCATCATACAGCTCGAGGGGTAGACGCACGGTTGAAACCGGAACGCCGGCCGTGCGCAAGGCGTTCTCCCAATATTCACTCGACTGCGCAGAGATGAGTTGTTCAACCTCAGCTGTTAGTCCCTGGTAATGGGCGTCCAGATCGCCCTGGAAGCCGTTTGCCAGAGCCGCATCTTCAATGCCCAAAACCGCGGCAAATTTGACGCGTAAGCCCGGACTGCCACAGGCCACAGCAATGTGTCCGTTCGCAGTCACAAACGTGCGGTAGTACACCATGAACATGTGCGCACGTTGTGTCGGGCGGGTTATCTCAAGCTGTTCCGCATAGGAAGCGTGTTGCAGCCGTGCTTCTTTTAGCTTGTTAAGCAGTTGCTGCTGTTTGGCCGCGTCATGGTCCTCTGATCGGACCAGCTGACTGGCCGTCAAAGCTAAACCCGCCTGCATGAGGCTGGTATCAATAATGCCGCCTTTACCCGTGCGTTCCCGACGCAGCAGTGCCGCACTGACACCAAAGGCCAAAGTCATGGCACACATATAATCCGCGCTGACCGGATCTCCGGCTGCTGGGCGTCCGTCAGTAATTCGGCCATTGGCTGCCATCAGGCCGGTTCGGGCTTGTACCACCAGATCCATACCCGCATCGTTTGCCTCCGGTCCATGCAGGCCAAACCCGGTGACCGAACCGACGATCAGTTTGGGGTGTTTTTTTAAGAGCTGATCTGAATCTAATCCCAGTTTTTCAGCAAGCCCTGGCCTGAGATTCATCAACACGACGTCCGCACTTGCGGTTAAGGCGTCTATCACCGGGCGTGCTGCAGGGTCGCTCAATGCCAGGGGTAAAGCGTGTTTGCCGTTGTTGCGGGTGATGAAGTAGCGCGATTCCCCGGGCGCGAGAGGCAAAATGCCACGAATCGGGTCACCGGTGGGTGTTTCCACTTTAATCACCTCAGCGCCGCCATCAGCAAGTAGCTGAGCCGCAACCGGCACCGCAACAAACTGACCAAACTCAACGACCCGAATTCCAGCAAAAGGCTGTTCTGACACAAAACGCTCCTGTTTCGACGACTCTCAACTACCCGAACAGTAACAAATCTGAGTCACCAGTAAGTATCACCGCTTGCAGTTCATTGAGACCATTGCTTTAATAGACCGGACGTCCAGTTAATTAAGTTCGAGCCTGGTGAAAAACAAAGCCCAAACTCTTCAAAAAAGAGATCGCGATAAAACCGCCGGCGCGATACTCAGCAGCGCAACAACACTGTTCTTAGAGCATGGCTATGCCGCTGTTTCTTTGAGCCTGATTGCCAAACAAGCAGGGGTCACGAAGAGTCTGCTTCATCACTATTTTGGGGATAAGCAGGGGCTTTGGAGGGCAGTCAAAGACGCTTCTGTCGCGTCATACGCTGAACAGCAACGTGCACTTTTCTCTGCGAATCCAGGCAATCCGGCAGAAGACATATCCTCTTCGATTGCAGCGTACTTTTCTTTTCTGCAGAAACACCCGGAAGTTGCACGCCTGTTCGCGCTCGAGAGTTTTGAAAGCGATTACAAACCCAGCGCTACCGAACAGGAATTGCAGGCGAAGGGCATTGCATTCATACACGATCTGCAGAAAAGGAAAGTCCTCAGAGGGGACATTGACGCTGACATGGTCCTGGCTGTGTTCAGCGCCTTAACCGAGCACTGGTTCATCAGTAGGGATCGGGTGGCCAAGCTCAACAACACGAAGACTGGCAAAGCTCTTGATGCTCGTTACTTCGAAGCGGCCAGCAAAGTTTTTGAGGCTGGCATCCAGATTCAGTGAAATTGGCCGTTTGATCGGGCAGCTTCAAAGTCAAACATTTTTATATCTGAGGAAGAATTATGGCGAAAGTAATGGTGACAGGTGCGAGCAGTGGGCTGGGTGCTGAGATTGCAAAACGGTTTGCTCAACGCGGAGATCACTTGGTTGTTGTTGCGCGACGCCAGTCGCTGCTTGAAAACCTGCAGGCGGAGCTTCTCGCCTGCGGTGCAGCAGGTGCCGAATATCGAGCCGTCGATCTCGCGGATGCAGAGCAGGTACAGAACCTCGCTGATGACTTACCGGCGCTTGGAATCGAAGTGTTGATCAACAATGCAGCCCTTGGTCACTGGGATTACACGTGGGATACAACGCCTGACACCATGCGCTCGATGATTGCCGTCAACGTGAGCGCTGTGGCTGTACTCTCAACGGCCTTCAGTCAGTTGCGACATCAACAGGCGGCGCGGCTCATGAACGTGGCGTCTGGGGCCGGTTATGCATTATTTGAAAGCGCAATTCCCTACTCAGCGACTAAGTTTTTTGTTACGGCGTTAACAGAAGGTCTTAGTCGAGAACTTGCCAGCCAGAATCACCCCATGCGTGCACAGCTGCTCGCGCCGGGACCAATCGCCACCGAGTTTACAGCGAACTCTCTTGAGGGCTCGAAGATGGTTTTCGCAGAAGGCGATATGGCAGGTATTCAGTTCCATACCGCAGAAGAAGTTGCGGAGCTTGCGATGCAACTCTATGACAGCGACGCAATGGTTGGTGCTGTGCAACCTGACATGACGTTTAAGCTGAGCGATGGGTTGCACACGGTTGGCCAGTTGACGGGTTGAAACAGCCTCTTTTAATCTCGACAGGCAGCCAGCGCAGCGGTTACCTTGGCTGTATTTTTGTAAGGAACCAGCCATGTTGACCATAGGGCAAACCTACACCTTGCGCGTGTTAAAAATGACAGAGCAGGGCGCCTATGTAGACGGAGAGAATCTGGGCGAAATCCTGCTGCCAACAAAGTTCTGCCCGCCTGACCTGGCGGTAGACAGTTCCCTACCCGTCTTCGTTTACCAGGATTCTGAAACCCGCCTCATCGTCACGACGCAAATTCCCAAGGTACAGGTCGGGCAGTTCGCCTACCTGGAAGCTGTTGCAAACACCGACTTCGGCACGTTCATGGACTGGGGTCTGGACAAAGATTTACTGACGCCTTTTGGTGAGCAGCACAGACGGATGGAGGTGGGCCATTCCTATCTCGTCTACGTCTACTTGAATAGTGCTGATGGCAGAATTACCGCTTCATCCAAAATCGATAAATTCCTCGACGATGAAGCGACTCACGACTTCGCAGCCGGTCAGCAGGTTGACCTCATCATTGCAAACAGTACTGATCTGGGGTTTAAGGCGATTATCAATCACAGCCATTGGGGCCTTTTGTACAAAGATGAGGTCAATGAAAGGCTTAGTTTTGGCCAGTCGAGACGTGGTTTTGTTAAATTTGTGCGAGCTGACGGCAAGATTGACCTCGCTCTGAAGCAGGAACAGGAAACACGCGACCAACACGCCATGACTGTTCTCAATTACCTTAAGGCGCACGATGGCTTTGCGGCTGTTCACGACAAATCGGATCCTGCGATAATGCAGAAGCTGTTTGGGATGAGCAAAAAAACCTTCAAGAAAACTATAGGCGGACTCTTTAGGCAGCGCCTTATTACTATTGGAACGGACGGCATTCGGCTTAACAAGCAGGCCGATCAAACAACGACAAATTGAAAGTAATCATCTATCACTGCGATGCCCTCTACGGGCTTCGCTTCCAAATTGAGTTAGATGCTGGACCGCTCGATCAACCGATACGTGGGGTCGAGCTGCGCCGGTGGTGCAACTCTCTATCTCAGCAAATATGACCTAATTCGCTCTCGGTTCAAATTCAACCTTAATAGAGTAACCAAGCACGCGCGCATAGTCTTCCACCGTTGCGAGGCGTGGTGAAATTCCGGAATTGATGCTCTCTAACCGCGAGATATTGCTCTTTGCTGTGCCGAGCAGTTCTGCCATTTCTTCTTGGGTAAGCCCCGCATCTTTGCGCAGCGCAATCATCTGGCGCTTCATATCAAACGCTGATGCGAGCGCGTCATATTCTTTCTTGACCTTGGGCTTTGCCAAAGCCTTCTTTTTAAACTTTGCGAGTGTGGGACGCTTAGCCATCGTTCTGGACCTCCTTCATACGCTTGCGCGCCGTGTCCATTTGGCGCTTGGGGATCTTGTATTGTTTCTTAATCACGCTGATCAAAACCACAATCTCCTCATCCTTGATTGTGCAATAGACCGATCTGGCAATGCCTTCGCGGCCCTTGGCTCTGATTTCAAACAGGCCTTGCCCCAGGGGTGCTGTATGGGGTCTACCCAAATCTGGGCCGAATTCTTCAATCAGCTCGGCTATACGCAGAAAGCGGGCCAGGATGCCGACAGGCAGTGCCAGTGTTTCTTCCTCAACCTTATCGTTATAGAAACTGATCTTCCATGTCATTATATCTAGTTATCATTTATGATAACTCAATGTCAACCGAGTTTCTCTTGTTTCTGAGGTGTTTTGGCTGCATCCAACAGGGGCGGACCGGACTCTACTTGACACTATCTTGCCTCCCCAAGCCCGATCCTCCTCGCAGCCTCCTAAAGCGCAAAATTATCCTGCAATTATTCTTCAAGCCTTCTGGTCGCCGGAACCGTCATAATGGTCGGCAACATTGCAATCAACTGGGGAGAGTTTTCATGGACATTACGGGTAAGTTAGCGGTAGTCACGGGCGCTGGTTCCGGCATTGGCCGCGCGCTGGCCATCAGTCTCGCGCAGCACGGCGCCCGCGGGGTGGTGTGCACGGATCTTAATGGCGAGAACGCCGCAGCCACCGCTGAAATGATTGGTGATGTGGCAACCGCACAACCTCTGGACGTCGCTGACGAAGCTGCCATCGAACAGCTCGTGCAGGAGGTTGAGCAGCAGCAGGGCGGCATTGACCTGTTTGTTTCCAACGCCGGCTATGGACGTCGAGGCGGGCTGGACCTGTCTACAACAGAGTGGCAGCGCATGATGAATGTACACACCTGGTCTCATCTGGCGGCGGCCCGGGCGGTGATGCCGGGGATGGTGGCCCGAGGCGAAGGCTACTTTTTGAATACCGCTTCCGCTGCGGGTTTGTTGACACAAATAGATTCAGGCCCCTACGCGGTGTCGAAACATGCCGCCGTGGCGTTTGCCGAATGGCTGCTCATCAACTATGCAGATCAGGGTATTGGCGTGTCAGTGCTGTGTCCCCAGGCTGTACGCACCAACATCCTTGGGCCAAATGCGCTGAAAGGGGGTTCATCCAACTCCCGTCAGGCCGCTGCAGACGGTATTTTAGAACCCGACTTTGTTGCGCAGGCCTGCATTGAGGCGGTGCAGGCAGAGCGTTTTCTTGTGCTGCCACACCCGGAGGTAGAGACTTACTTTCAGCGTAAAGCCAACGACTACGATCGGTGGCTGTCCGGGATGCGGCGTTTTCGTCAGCGCTTGCTGGCGCGTTGAAGTCTACACTCCGGTTTGCTCCAGGTATTCATGATGGACGCGCTGATGAGCAAGTCCGGATTACATCCAGACCATGGTGATCCATTCTGCCGCCAGCGCAGGCTTGTCTTCGCCTTCAATTTCGATGGTGACATCCTGATTCAGCGCAAAACGTCCGTCGCCTTTGTCGTCCACGCTCTTAACCGTGAAGTGGTCGCGGATGCGTTTGCCGCTTTTCACCGGTGCCATGAAGCGCACTTTATCGTAGCCGTAGTTCACGCCCATCTTGGTGCCTTCCACACCGGGTACAGCCTGATACGCCATCACCGGCATCATGGATAAGGTCAGCAGGCCGTGGGCAATAGTCCCACCAAAGGGTGTCGCTTTTGCGGCTTCCGGATTCACATGCAGAAACATGTGGTCTTCGGTGAGATCCGCAAAGCCATTGATTTTGTCCTGGTCCAGGGTAAACCATTCAGACACACCGATTTCTTTGCCGGTATAGGCGCGGATTTCGTCCAGGGTCATTGTTCGGGTAGGGCCTTGCATGTGCTTTTCTCCAGGTCGGTGTAAAGTGCGACCAGTTTGCCCCAACGAGTGCCTCAATTGCGAGGAGTGATGCCTCCGACTCAGCTTAAGAAATAGACTCAGCGATAGAAAATATGGTCGCCTACCCGGGCAGAGCGCTTCAGCCGCCAGCCGGGATTGACGCTGGTGCTGTGAAAAAACAGAGCCCCACGCGTGGGGTCTGAGCGGCGGCCGTGCAGAACCTGATTTGCCACGTGCATTGCTCGCGCCCAGCTGCGTTTATTGGTTGGACGATCGCTTTTACCATCACACCACCATGAGAACTGGCAGGGTGCAGTTTCACCGCCTTGCTTGACGACTGCGCAGGCACTGTCTGGAAAGCGCTTGTCCTGAACACGATTCATAACCACCGAGCCCACCGCGTACATACCTTTTTCCCCTTCGCCACGTGCCTCCCAATACATCGCCAGCGCCAGACAGTGCTGGGCTTGCTGATCAGGCCGCGCCTGTGCAGTGTTAACGGCAAATGTCGCAAGACAAAAAATACATAGGGCGTGGATTGATTGAGGCATGGGCAGCAACGTCAATGAAACAGATTGCATCCTAGGCAGAGCTATCTGAACACAACATAAATCAGGACAAAATTGTCGCATGAATCGATTTAGATTGAGAAAGCGGTCTCAGTATTCGAGGTCGTCGCTATTTACCTGGAAGGATGAAGACACGCTAAGGTACGGTGTACCGTTAATACAGATCTGTCAGTCCATAAGCCTGCATCTGGGATTGAAAGCCTTCAACATCGTGACTCAGAATCACGATGTCATGCTTTTCTCCAGCCTGGTCCATGACCTGGTCTTTCAGCAGCGCTTCAGGCTTGAAACCCATCTCTTCGAATACGTTAATGGCGCTCGTCTGATCAACCGTCATATGCGCAGTAAGTTTCTGCAGCTTCAGGCTCAATGCGATGAGAAAACTTTCCTGAATCAACAGTCTTCCCAGTCCGCGCTCTTTACCCGCCGGGCTGACCAGCACACGCAGTTCACCCACGTGTGGCGACCAGCTGCGTTCGTCTCGTACCACGGCCGTGCAGCCTAACATTTTGCCATCAGAGCGGGCGATCAGACTGGTGATCTCGCCGGTTTCCAATTGTTTTGACCAGGCTGAGAGTACCTTTGGTTGTGTAATGTCGCGACGCAGAAAAAGCAGGTCGTGAGGGTCCAGGGTGTTGGCAAACGTCAGTACTTCGGCTTCCATCTCTGGTGTCATCAGGTCCAGCGAGACATCTCCGCCTTTAATTTCCTGGGTGCGAGGATAGCGTGTGGATTCACTCATACCGATCTCTCTCCTAACCATTCGGCCAGTTTTGGCCACATCCGCCTTACTGCATTAGGGCCGGCGATGAGACTGACATGCCCGCCTTTAAGCACGATTTCTTCTTTATCTTCGGAGCCCACCAGGTCCAATAGAGGCTTGCTGGCATCGTAAGCGACTATGTGATCGTGTTCAGCCATTGCCGCCATAATGGGTACCTTGATGTCGGAGAGTTTTGCGGTCTTACCGTTGACCATAAGGTCACCCTTATAGAGTTTGTTGGCCCACATCAGTTCTTTGGTGGTGTCGCGAAAATATTCTCCCGCTAGGGGCAGCGTTTCGTTGCCCCAACGGTCAAAGGCTCGATAAGACTTTACAAATTCATCGTCCCACATTTTTTCCCACACACGGATCTGTGATGCAGATTTCTGTGCCGGCCTGAGCATCTCAAAAGATGCCTGCACAAAATCCTGGGGAACCACACCCAGGGTGTCTACCAGTCGGTCTACGTCAAAATGTTTTTCATCGCTCCAGATTCGCGTGAGCCCCATTTCAGCCCAGTTCACAGGTGTTGTCAGACAGACGAGATTTTTGAGGGGGCCGTCGGTGTGACTTGCTGCGTAGATGAGTGACAGCACACCGCCCATGCAGTATCCGACGATGGACAGGTCAGGCTCACCTGAATCATCTATCACCATCTGCACACAGGTGGGGATAAAATCCTGGGTGTAGTCTGCAAGGGACAGGCCGCGCTCTTCAGGCAGTGGTGGTTCCCAGTCGATGACGTAAACATCGAAGCCTTCTTTGAGAAGATATTCGACCATACTCTGCCCTGGCGCCAGGTCGAATACATAGGCTTTGTTGGTGGTCGCCATGACCAGCAGGATCGGTACACGATAAAGCTCGTCTGCCTGAGGCAGGTAGTGGTAGAGCCGCAGCGTGCCGCGCTCATACAACACTTCTTTTGGTGTCAACCCGACTTTGGCTGGTGGCATCGTGAGAAAGTCCAGCCCTTTCAGATTTCGGGCAATCGTACGCTCAACCAGTTTGCTGGCGCGATCCATTATGTTTGTTCGGGTTTCACTCATGATCAGCCTCGCTTCGCATGCTGGGCGGTAGTTTGGTGCGCGGTGGTTTTTTACCGCCACCCTTATCTGTTTTTTTCTTTTTCTTAGCTAATGTGGTCTCTATGGAGGCCAGGCGCTTTTCGACGGCGCGTATGCTTTCACCTAGCCTGAGGATGTCGTCCCGGCTGGGCATGTTGAGGTTGAGCAGGTGTTGCGCCATGGCTTCGTTAAACCTTTTCTGCATGGCAAGTTGCAGGTTCTGAAACTGATTCATGGATTGACTGAACTCGTCTGTACCCATGATTTTATTAGCGATGCTGTCAAAGTTTCGTTCCCAATCGCTGACGAGCTTTGTGAAAGCGTCAGCCGGGTCTGTTTGTTTGTCAGCCATTTCTTTCTCCCCTGTAAATAACCAATGAAACAAAGCGCTCAGGGTGGCAGCGTCAACTAATCGCACACTCTAAAGCTTTAGCTGAGTGATACTCCGTCTCCCGTTTCTGGTCAACAGCTTCGTGCACCATCAGCTGGCATCTTTGTCTCAGGCAGCAGGGTTTCATCAGCTGATTTCAACGTCGTGGCAGGGGAGGGCTGGGTCGGTTCACTGCACTAGTCTGCGCTGACGATCGCGAAAGAGGTTCGGTCTCAATGTTCGCACGTTCAGGAAACAGACAGTTTCCATTCATCCTGCAGTCAGGTCGCAACCAATATCCTGCCCGCAACTTTGATAAAGAAGTTGATCGAGGAATGAACCAATGAATACTGATACAAAGCGATCTAACACGCCAACTCTACCGAAGTATCTTGCTGCTGCAGGCATCACGCTGCTGTTAATGGCACCGCTGACGGCCAGCGCAGACCATGACCGACACGACGTCGTTGAAGTGCTGGCTGGTGCTGCAGTGGCTTATCTGATCATTGATGCTCTGGATGATGACAGCCGTTATCATCGACGGCACAGGGATCACTACGCTCACGATCGTCATTACAAGCAACGCCACCACGATCGTCACTACCAACGACATCACCATGATCGCTACTACAAGGGTCGGCATCATGCCAAACATAAAAGGCATTACGCCAAACACAAGCGCCACCATCGCCAACATAAACGTCATGGTTACAAGGACAGCTATTATCGCAGGTATTATCGTTAACAAGGCTTCAGCTCAGATGGCGTATCAGGTAATCCGAATTCGGGTGACTTAAAGACACCAGGCTATTGGTATATGCCGAAGACTGAGTTGTCGGAACTTCGGTTTCCCCCAATTGCCCAGCTGCTATTCAATTTCTAGGCTAGCGAATGTTTCAATCGCCGGGATAGTTCATGTCGCCTTCAGCCTCTCTACAAGCTTGCGTGGAAGAAATGGTTCAGTCCGGCAAGGGGATCCTGGCGGCGGATGAGAGTCTGCCCACCATCGCCAGGCGATTTGCCGGCATCGGTCTTGAGTCCTCGGAACAGACGCGGCGCGACTATCGTGCCCTGTTGGCAGAGACAGACGATCTGGAGCGGCATGTCAGCGGCGTCATCCTGTTTGAAGAAACCCTCGATCATAAGGTCTCTGATGGCCAAACGATTCCCCATGCTCTGCAGGCCAGAGGCATCGTGCCTGGGGTGAAAGTTGATAAAGGCACTATTCCCGTCTCGCCTTCAAGTGTACACAAGCTCACCCAGGGTCTTGATGGACTGGCCGAACGGTTGAGCGGTTATCGGGAGCAGGGCGCCCGATTTGCCAAATGGCGCAACGTCTATCGTGTTGGCGCCAGCGATGCGGATTATAAGGTTACGGTCAACATGGGGGCTGAGATCCTGGCGCGCTATGCGGCTCTGTGCCACCAGCAGGATTTGGTACCCATCGTCGAACCGGAAGTGTTGATGGACGGCGCGCATGAGATAGAGCACTGTGCCGCCGTGACGTTAGAGGTGCAACATGCGGTGTTTCAGGCACTGTACCGACATAACGTTGATCTTCGATATATCGTTTTAAAACCCAATATGATTCTGCCTGGCGAAGGGGTGGGCAAGGCCTCGCCAGACAGAGTGGCCGAAGCCACGCTTCAGGTGTTGATGCAGACAGTGCCCGCGGCTGTGCCCAGCATCAACTTTCTGTCTGGTGGACAAACTGATTTAGAAGCCACCGCAAATCTGCAAGCCATCAATCAAGCTGCAAGGTCATTCACGGCGCCCTGGCTGCTGAGTTTTTCCTATGGACGCGCGCTCCAGGCGCCGGTGTTGAAGGCCTGGCAGGGTCGCCCCGAAAACGTTGCTGTCGCGAAAGCCGAACTGCTGCATCGCGCTGCTATGAATGGTGGAGCCGTGGCAGGTGACTATTCCGCCTCCGATGATAACCGGGACTGATCGTTGATCCCGCCGGGTTTGCAGCTTTCCCGTCTTAAGTCGATAAGCGCGTGAGCGAACTGGAGTGGATTGTGCTGGGTGGAGTACTGATGAGTGGTATCGCCATGGTGGGTAGTGTGACCCTGGTGTTAAAACCCGCGACACTGGACCGGCTGCTGTTGCCACTGGTTGCTTTTGCGGCCGGTTCTCTGATCGGCGGTGCGTTCTTTCACATGTTACCTGCGGCGCTTGAAGCAGGCAGCGATGGACTGGCGATTGGCATCTTGGTTGTCGCCGGATTTTCAGCGTTTTTCATCCTCGAGCAGTTTCTGCATTGGCGCCACTGCCACCGGACGCAGAGTGACCGCAGGCAACCGTTGACGTATCTGATTCTGATTGGCGATGGGTTGCACAATTTTCTCGGTGGCCTGGCGATTGCCGGAACCTTCCTGATCGACGTGCGTTTAGGCATTACAACCTGGCTGGCTGCCGCAGCCCATGAGATTCCTCAGGAATTGGGAGACTTTGGTGTCCTGATCCATGGTGGTTGGTCAAAAAGCAGTGCTTTGCTGTTCAACGTGCTGTCCGGATCGACATTTTTACTTGGCGGACTGGTGACTTATGCCTTGTCCACCCAGGTGGACATCAGCTGGCTGATCCCATTTGCGGCAGGCAATTTCATCTATATCGGTGCTTCAGATCTGGTGCCTGAAGTGAATAAACATGGTGAAGGAGGGGGTAATGTGATTCACCTGCTGGCTTTCGGTGCGGGGTTGCTTGTGCTGTTGGTAGCGCGGCTTTTATTGTAGATCTAAGTGATGGATAAAGACATGAACAATGATACGACGGTTTATCCGCTGGCTGGGTTCCCTGCCCTACATCTGGCGGTTGACGGCGATCGCATCGATATTCGCCCTATGTTGCCGAGTGATGGTGCTGCGCTGCAGCAGTTTTTTCAGCGGATTTCAGAGCAGGATCGCTACTATCTGCGCGATGACATTGCCGACCCTGAGGTGGTAGCGAACTGGGCGGAAAATCTCAACTACAATCGCGTGATACCGTTACTGGCTCTGCATGATGAACGCATTGTCGGCGAGGGTACGTTGCATCGTCGGCATGCAGCTGCGCGTCGGCATGTGGGTGAAGTACGAATTACAATTGATCCCCAGTATCGGGATAAAGCCATTGGGCGTGGGTTGCTGCACAAGCTGGTTGAAGTCGCTAAAGAACGCGATCTGGAAAGCGTGTTGTTCGAGATTGCGGCAGATGCAGAGGAGCCAGCGCGGCAGGCGGCGGCAGTGATTGGCTTCGTGCCGGTTGCACAGATTCCCGATCAATTCAGAGATGCCGACGGTACAGCACATGATAGTCTGATCATGTGTCTCAATGTCAGGCAGGAGTTTCCTCCACCACCCAGTATTTTCTGATCTGAATCTGTAGCTGAATTGTGCTTTTGCACACGATCTTCAGGCCAGACTGCCGCCATCGACAGTGAGCACCGAACCGTTGCAGTAGGTGGCGGTGATGGCCATGAAATAGATGGTGTCGGCAATTTCTTCCGGGGTGCCAGGCCGACCAAGGGGCGATACCTGATAGCGTAACGTCTCGTCAGCAAAGGGATTCATGTCGGACTCCAGCACCGATTCCACCATGTCTGTATCCACAAAGCCTGGTGCCACTACATTCGCGCGTATGCCCTCAGGGCCATAAGCACGGGCCAGGGAGCGGGTCAGATTGATGACACCTGCTTTGGCTGTCGCGTAGGTGTGCGCGTCATCCATGCCGCGAAGACCACCGCCACTGGCAATGTTGACGATGCTGCCCTCACCCTGCGACAACATCACGGGCAGTGCCGCGTGGCAAAGGTGAAACACCGAGTCGAGGTTGATGCGCAGTACTTCGCGCCACTGCTCATAGGAGGTGTCTTTGAGAGCTGCCATAGAGCCTGGGTGTTCCACGCCATAGTTCCAGCCGATGCCGGCGTTGTTCACCAGGCTGGCAAGGCGCCCGTTTGTTTTGGCGACAGCGATCAGCTCAGCGGCGGTGTCTGCCAACCCCACGTCACCGGCTACCGGAATGATGGCGCCAGCGCCGGCACCCGCCAGTTCGCGGGTTTCCTCGAGTTTAGCTAAACGCCGTCCGGAGGCGATCACCGAGTATCCGTTTGCGGCAAACACCAGTGCGGCGGCGCGGCCAATGCCGCTGCCGGCACCGGTAATGATGACAGATTCGCTCAAGCCTGCTCTCCCTGCAAAATAACTTTGATACCGATGTTATCGTGAACAGCGCCGATTGGCATTAGACTGTCGCTTCACTCGGAAACAGCTTAACTATGCATCAGATCGAAACAGTTTCTGTCGACGGCAGTGAGATGGAGGTGTTTGTGTTTGAGCCTCCGGGTCAGGGCCCTCACCCAGGTCTGGTTTTAGCCCAACACATTCCCGTTGGTCACACAGGCATCGAAAACGACGGTTTTACTTTGCGCACCGCAGAGCGTTTTGCGGCAGCTGGCTAAGTCGTAGCTGTGCCGTTTATATTTCACTGGTGGCCTAAACACGAAGAGATGATGGTCAAGGCCAAGGCAAGTCGAGACGACTGGACCGTGAAAGATGTAAGCGCTGCTTTCAATTTACTTGCAGGCCGCGGCGATGTTGCCAGGATCGGTATTGTTGGGCACTGCTGGGGTGGCCGGGTGGCGTGGTTGGGCGCCTGCCATATTCGGGAACTTGCAGCGTGTGTCATGTTTTATGGTGGTCGCATTAAGCTTGCCATGGGTGAGGGTAACCCGCCCGCGATCAGTCTGGCTGATCGTATCCATTGCCCGGTTGCTGGTTTCTTTGGTAACGAAGATCAGAATCCGACGCCTGAAGATGTAGACGACTATGCGGCTGCACTGGACGCAGCCGGTGTGGATTATGTTTTTCATCGCTATGATGGGGCAGGCCATGCTTTTCAGAATTTTCCAACACCAGATCGTTATCGCGAACAGCAAAGTGAAGACGCCTGGGATAAAGTCCTGTCGTTTCTGGCGCGAACATTGAAGCGCGACTATTGAAACATGAACAGGGCTGAACTGATGACACACACTTGAGTGAAACTCCCAAAAATCGCATTGCTGAAAAGCACGGGGAACAGCGCTATCAGATACAGATTCAGCGCGATTTAACCAGAAATTTCATCATTCACCTGGGCCACGGCATGCTGGGTCAAACCGGTTTCCGGTTGCTCATGGCGCCCACCTTTCTGCCTGCTTACATCATGTTACTGTCGGGGGGGTCTGAATTGATGGTGGGCATTGCGCTGTCCGTTAACGCCCTGGGTATGGCGCTGACACCGCTGATCGGTGCAAACCTTATAGAGCACCGTAAACGCGTGCTTCCGGTTGGATTTCTCACCGGTGGTGCCATGCGCGCCAGTGTGCTGCTGATTGCACTCTCTGGCTTTTTCCTGCAAAGCGAAGCTGCGCTTGTTGCCATCATCGCCTGCCTTCTGTTTTTTGGCCTGTTCCAGGGCATGCAGGGTGTGATTTTTAATTTTCTGATGTCGAAGGTCATTCCGGTTTCCAAACGTGGCCGTCTTACAGGGTTACGGAATTTTCTCGCCGGCGTGACTTCGGCAGGCGTTGCATGGTTGGGCGGGCATTACTTTCTCGGAGATGATCCAACTGCGGTCGGCTATTCATGGGTTTTTCTGTTGGCATTTGTGTTAACCAGCGTCGGATTGGCGCTGTTGCTTTTTATTCGTGAGCCCGAACCACCCACGGTGCAGCGCAAACAGAATCTTCTCGCGAGGTTGCACGACCTTCCCCAGCTGTTGCGAGATGATCCTGCGTTTACCCGCTATTTTCTTGCGCGATCGCTGGCCACCATGGGCAGAATGGCGATGCCGTTCTACATTCTGTACGCCGGGCAGTCGCTGGGTCTGACAGGTCAGCTGCTCGGCATGGTGACTTTCGCTTTTACCCTGGCGGGCACGGTATCGAATCTTGTCTGGGGCAGCATTGCAGACAGGGCCGGGTTCCGTCTGGTCTTCCTGCTGTCTATTGCGATGTGGGTTATCGCAACGCTGCTGCTGATTTTTTCTTCCGGTGTTTTCCTGACGGTTTTGGTTTTCATTGGTATCGGTGCAGCAGTGCAGGGTTTTCAGAATTCATCGCAGAATCTGACGCTGGAGTTCGGAAGTCGTGACGATCTACCCGTCCGGATTGCCATTGCCAATACGGCGTCTGAAATTGCCGGCACCATCGGTCCTTTACTCGGTGGGTTATTGGCAGCTTACTTCGGTTATTTGTCTGTTTTTATATGCTCGATAGGCTTTCTTGTTATTGGTGGCGCCGTGGTTCGCTTCTATGTGCCGGAACCTCGCAGATAGAAGAAAAACAGCTGTCGTTCCGTTGGCCTGCAGGCTTGCATTGTTCGTTCAAGAAGTAGAAATTGAGAATTTCCCAGGCAGAAAGTCACATGAATAATAGCGACCTCCACTATGCCCGCATTACCGACATCGCCGGACTACTGGAGCGCCGGGAGCTTTCGCCGGTTGAGTTGACGAAGCATATGTTGGAACGTATTTCGGCGCTGGACAGTCAGCTCAACAGTTATCAGACAGTGATGGCAGGGCAGGCTCTGGAGGCGGCGGCGAAAGCCGAGGCTGAGATTGTGTCAGGCCGCTACCGCGGCGCGTTGCACGGCATTCCAGTGGCGGTAAAAGATCTCTGTTTTACACGCGGGGTGCCGACAAGGGGTGGCTTGGCGGTGCTTAAGGATTTTGTCCCGGATTACGATGCAACGGTTGTTCAGCGCCTTGAATCCGCAGGTGCGATCCTGCTGGGCAAACTCAACCTGACCGAGGGGGCGATGGTGGGCTACCATCCGGATTTCAAGATCCCGGTAAACCCCTGGGACAGCACTCTATGGGCAGGCGCTTCGTCCAGTGGTTCCGGTGTTGCGACCGCCGCGGGTCTGTGTTTTGCCGCCCTGGGATCCGACACAGGCGGATCCATTCGCTTTCCTGCATTGGCTAATGGTGTGGTGGGTCTCAAACCCACCTACGGCAGGGTAAGCCGGCACGGCGTGTTGGATCTTGGAGAAACACTCGACCACGTGGGACCGCTTACCCGGGGCGTCGAGGATGCGGGTCTGGTTCTGGCTGCCATCTCAGGTCAGGATAAAGCCGACCCAACCTCTCTGCCGGCACCTTTACCAGACCTTTCGCAGATCAGCGCCGGCGTTGCGGGATTGCGGATCGGTTACGATTCCGGGTTCGCCAGCCAGGGCACCGACCCTGAGCTTCTGGCATCCATTGAAGCGGCACTGGCACTGCTGGAATCTCTTGGTGCCAGTGTTGTGAACGTGGAGGTTCCGCCAGAGATACTGACCATGGGCGAACTGTGGTTCCCCATCTGCACCTATGAAGCCCACAAGGCTCATGCGTCTACCTATCCCTCCCGGCGCGAGGAGTACGGCAACTACTTCAGAGAATTTCTCGACATTGGTGCGTCTGTGACTGATGCACAGTATAACGAGGCCATGGCTGCACGGCGCGACTTCAGTGAGCGCTATGAATTGGTACTGGCCTCGGTTGATGCAATGCTGAGTCCGGCCGGTGGGGTGACAATGCCAATTCCTGCAGATCAGTACGGTGGAGCGGAAGCCCTGGCACCCCTGTTTGGTCAGGTCCAGATGCATTTCACTATCCCTGACGACTTCTCTGGTACGCCAACACTCACGCTGCCCTGCGGCAAGGATAAATCCGGCATTCCCCACGCCATGCAGCTCGTTGGCAAAACACTGTCAGAAGCTACGCTTTGTCGTATTGGCAGTGCTTATGAATCGGCAACCGACTGGCATCAGCGTCGACCGCCTTTGTTGTGAGAAGTTATCCGTTTCTGCGCGGGGTTATCGAGGCACTTCTATCGATTGTTGGGCATCGATCGTGTAATCACAACGTGGGCAGAACGATTGTTGCAGGCCCAAAGCAGCCGCTCAGATAAAGCTCCCGAGAGGCGGCTTTGTGCCCATTGCTGACATGGATTCAAACCAGTTGGAACGTCCACTCAGGGGTCGCGAAAGCCAACACTTTTCCTTTCCTTTATGATCTACTGATCATCGTACCGACCTTCGGAGTTTTATTGAATGGCTGATGGCCTATTGCTAGTCGTTGGGCTGGTGTTTCTGATAGCGGCGGCGGACTCTCTTGTTAAAGGTGCCTCGCTTGTAGCGTCTCGTCTTGGCATTTCGCCCCTGGTAATTGGCCTGACGGTAGTTTCTTTCGGTACGTCGATGCCTGAGATGCTGGTAACTCTAACGGCTGGCCTTCAGCATAATGCGGACCTTGCGATTGCCAACATCGTTGGAAGCAACATGGGTTTTACCCCGATCTCACAGAC